AGATGCCTCGGCACAGCAAGCTGGTGCCGCGCACTGCAAACCTGGCGGTGCTCGGACCCCCGAGCGCGTGCCGGATGAAATTAGATGCATTGATATGATGCACTTCGTGGTGGCGACTCTTTGTGGCAGTCATGGTGGCTTCCCTGAGTTTCTGAAGCGGAGTCTTTCGCGCCCCGTTCACTGCCCGGATTCTCCGAGAGCAGATTTGTGGCCTTGTCCCCCACCGATGTGGCGATGGACAGGTAGTGCTAGCATCTCACCAAAGCGCCGGCGCCGGAAGCGTTGGCACCAAATTCGAGCTCAGGCCTTGCAAACCATTGTGGCATGTTTGAATTGGCTGTCTTTAGGTCATGCAAAAAGCCCTCCAGCTCATGCAAGAATTGGTGCTCCAATGTCTTCTCAGCAGCTGGATATGATTGCTAGGCTGGAAGCTCAGCTGACGTATTTTCTGGCTGCGCCCGCGATGTCTCGAGCTGACTTAGGGCGAGCAGGTGAGAAGTTGGCCAAAATTTGTCATGCAACAATTAAGCTCCCTAACCCAAATTTTTGTGATGGGAAAGTTTTTAGTTTTTTGAATCATGTTCATCAAGAACTGGACCCCTATGGTCGTTGTCCAAAACATGAGGGACCCTCAAATGTGCCCGGCAGCTCCAGACCAGATGCCTCAATGTCAGCCTCAGAGCAGGAACTTGGCCAGCAGGTCGCTTTACAGATCAGTCCGGCAAAGCCTGTGGTATCAGATCGTATGAAGTGGAAGTTGGGCCCCAGTTTTGACCCTTCACCTTTTCTTTCAGATCCTGTTGTCAAAAAGGCTTTTGCTGACCCCAATATTTTGCGTCGACCTGTTGCTCAATGGCCCCGTCGAAGGAGGGCCAAGGTCCATTGCTCTCGCACAGAGCTAGTTCAACTGGCGACAAAGTGGGATGCTCTGGGCGCTTGTAGGTTGGTTTCAGCAGCTAGTGTTGACCCACAGGAAGCGGTTGGTTTATTTGCGGTTTGCAAGGATCAAGACTATGACAGATTGATCATCAATCCAACAGTTATCAATTCAAGAAGTTTTGGTTGCAATGCTTTTACAAAGACTCTTGCACCAGGGCATCTAGCTGGGTTGATCCGTTTGAAACCTGATGAGAATCTGCTTATTAGTTCTGACGACCTTTGTGAGTTCTACTATACCTTCAGAGTTACACCCGAAAGAGCTGCTCGTAATGCCATTGGTATTCCTTTTTGGGGTCGTGAACTTTGTCATCTCCAGTGCTATGATGATACGCTAGCGAGTGAGCAAGTATATATTTGTCTAGCTACATTCGCTATGGGTGACAGTTTGGCAGTGGAGATTGCTCAGCAAAGTCATTGTAATTTACTTCGACAAGTTGCAGGGTGTATGAGGCAGGATGAGGTAATGCAGTACAGAAAACCTATTCCACGTGGTCCCTTCTATGAGATGTTGACTATTGATGATCATATTGGTTTGCAGAAGGTCCCTTCCTGTTCAACTAGTTCTTTGGTCGATTCTCAGCGGGATGTTGAAGTTTTCCACAAAGCAAACGCGGCATATTCACATGTGGGGCTGGTGGCGCATCCTGGGAAGAAGCAGCGCAGGGTTTCCAATGCAGTGGTACTAGGTGCAGAAGTTGATGGCACTGTTGGCAGAACCTGTGCACCCCGCAGCCGAATAGCCCTTTTGATGATGACAACAATGGTGATTGTCAAAAAGCAGACTGGAACTCGTCGCATCTTGCAAAGTTTAGTAGGGTGTTGGATTCATGCTTGTCTGTTTAGGCGACCTGTTTTTGCTGTCATGGATCATGTTTTCAGAGAAGGGTTGCACGAACCTCCAGACCGGACTTTCCGGTTGAGTGCCATGGCTTTGCATGAACTCATGATGCTGGCCGTGTTGGGCCCCCTTTTGCAAGTGAATATGCGAGCGGAAGTATGTCCATCCATTTACATGCTGGATGCGAGCCCGTCAGGCGGAGGAATCTGCCATGCCACACTGGGTGAAACTGCTTGCGAAGAACTTTGGAGGCATTCCGAGCAGCGCGGGTATTACACCGTGCTGCAGCAGGGAGCTGGTTCAGTTTTGCGGGAGTTGGGTTTAGAACATGCTGAAGTTTTTGGCGTTGACGATGCTGGGATTGCCCAGCCACCTGATCCTGCTGCTGTTTCCTTTGATAGGCCTGCCCCTGACTTACAGTCCTATGATTTTGACTGCATTGAACTGTTTTCTGGCTATGGCAATTGGTCCCAAGCTCATGCTGATGCAGGACTGCGGGTGCATCCAGGTTTTGAGCGGTCGACTAAGACCGTGGCATATGGAGATCTCATGGATGATGACACCTTCCGAGATTTAGCGTTTGTTGCCGACTCCGGGAAGGTGAAAGAGTGGCATGCCGGGCCTCCTTGTTGGTCCTACGGCACTTTGAGACGGCCTCGGCTGAGGAGTAAGGGCTTCGACATGACGGAGCCCACCACCTACGAACAGACTATTCTGGCGGTTCGTACCGCTTTCCTGCTGACACTGGCTATTCTTCGTGGGTGCTACGTGTCTGTGGAGCAACCAGGCTCCTCTGTCATGTTTGAGCTGCACTGCTTCCAGGTATTGCAAAAGTTGGGATGCTGGATCACGAAGTTCACATTTTGCTCATATGGCAGTGCGTTTATGAAACCCTCAAAGTGGCTCCACAACAAGCCCTGGCTGACTGCTTTGGCGCGAAAGTGCTCCTGCCCACATCGAGGCAGGCATTTTGTTGTGCAGGGGTCTTTTACTCGTGCATCAGTGCGCCAGTTTGACCGCAGATGCAGACCTGGCGTTGAAGCCGTTTATGGGCGTTGGCCGAAGCCGGGGGAAGCAGTTAGCAGCTTTTCAGCTTCCTACCCAAAGCCGCTGATGGAGCTTATGGCAAAGGGCAGTGTGCTGGCTCACCAGGGTCTTTGGGGTACTTCGGCCCCCTGTCTGCTAGAAGATGCCGAGACAGAGGGCGTGCGGGCTTGGCATGACGATCCAGACTGGATCCAGGAGCTGTGTGAGGGGGTCCCCTACAAGGAGCTGTTTAGGTACAAGTTCAAAAAGCCAGGCCATATCAACATACTAGAGTGCAGGGTTTACAAATCTTGGTTGAAGCATTGTGCCAAGCAACACCCTGGCTCCCGCGTTTTGGGCTTACTGGACAGCCGTGTGACAATGGGGGCAGCGGCAAAGGGGAGAAGTAGTTCGAAGGCACTTAGCCACATATTGAAGACTTCACTGGGCTATATTTTGGGGGGTGACCTTTACCCAGGGTGCCTGCATTGTAGGTCGCCCTGGAATCGTGCAGACGATCCATCTCGCGACCGTGATGTGCAGGGCCCTACCCGGCAGAAGCCGACCTGGTTGACTTCTCTGCAAGCTGGAGACTTCAAGCATTTTGATGCAGTGGTTTGCAGCAGTTTCTGGCGGAACCCCCTAGGCAGATGGGTACGAATGTTGCTGCTTTTGTGTGGCGACATAGAAACAAATCCTGGGCCGCGCATGGGCAATCGTTACGCCCCCAGGGGTGAGCTGAACATGGACGTCGGTTTTTCACAGGCGACCGCTCAGCGCATGCGGTTTTGCATGCGTGCTTTCAGCGCCTGGGTGCATGCTGCTCTGGGATGCTCGGCAGACGAGGTGCTGGCCACGGCCGAAATGGCCGACCTTGCATTGCGTGCCTACGGGCGTTTCTGTTTTGCGCAGGGACGACCCCGTTATTGGTTGGTCTATGCTATAACTGCAGTGCAACATGATTTCCCTACTTATCGCAATTTTCTGAATGGAGCATGGCAGGTGGATCGCAAATGGCAGTTGGAGGAGCCAGGGCAGTGCAGGGCTGTCCTGTCAGCTCCTTTGGTGCAAGCAATCATTGCAGTGGCGTTGCTGTGGCATTGGTTTTCTTTTGCGGGCCTGGTAGCCTTGGGATTTTCCGGGATGCTTCACCCCAATGAATTTCTGCAGCTCATTCGAAGTGACCTGGTATTTCCTGAAGATACACTGGAAACCCGAAAGTCCCTGTATGTGCACATAAGAAACCCAAAGACTGCAAGGTTTGCACGTCGACAACATGCTCGTATTGATGATACATCTGTCATACACCTTGTTCTTTGCATATTTGGGAAACTACCTCGTGAGGCTAGACTGTATGGTGCTACGCTGGCTGTTTTTCGAAGACAGTGGAACAGCATCCTGGACCACCTTGAGGTCCCTCGCCGCCAAGCAGTGCGAGGTGCCACCCCGGGAACATTGCGAGGGTCAGGCGCAACATACTTGTACCTGAACGATGTTGATTTATCAAAAATCGCTTGGCAGGGTAGGTGGTCTAGGCTACGCACTTTGGAGTACTATATCCAAGAGGTTGCAGCACAGCTTTTCTTACATCAGCTCAGTGATACGGCTCGAGCGAGAATCGCCGAGTTAAGCAAACACTTACCTTCAGTTGTGGCTTGCCTGTTTTGAATGTGATGCGTGGCAGGAATGAAAGGGTGGAAGAAAATTTTTCTTAGCAGCTCTCCTTTCTCCATTTTCAAAGGAAACTCTGGCGTTTGGAAAGTTTAGCTGGTGGCCAAGAAGGCCAGTGCTGTGGCAAGAAGCCACCGTGGGCACCTTGAAAGAAAGAGGCGTGAAAAACCTCGTGATGTCTTTATCACTTGGGCATGTGAGCATCTTTTGTCCACAAGCAATCTTTGGGCCCGCAGCCGCCCACCCGGAGGAAGAAAATTTTTCTTAGCAGCTCTCCTTTCTCCATTTTCAAAGGAAACTCTGGCGTTTGGAAAGTTTAGCTGGTGGCCAAGAAGGCCAGTGCTGTGGCAAGAAGCCACCGTGGGCACCTTGAAAGAAAGAGGCGTGAAAAACCTCGTGATAATTATAACAATACTATAAGTATACCTATAACTATTACTACAACTAGACTATAATTATAACGATATAACCATAACCATAACTATAACTATACAATATGGACAGTGCAGATTTGACTTTTCCTCAGGAAGCCTTGTCTCTGACTGCCCTAGATCCGGAAGAATTCATCAGCCACCTGGACCCGATATGGGTTTTACAACGGTCGTCCGTTGTGTTGCGATGGTCGGTATTTTGGTATACCCTCTGGTAATTTAACATAGCTATTGGAAATGGCAATTTATAGTGAGTTTTCCCATTAAACATGGTGATTTTCCATAGTTTTTTGTATGTTTACCAGAGGGTATTTGAAGGCATGTCTGTTTTGACATGAATATGTCCATGAAGTTGGTTCATTCACAGCAAATGCGAGTCTTAGGTCTTGTTTTTTGTTTTTTCCCAAATATAGGAATGCTGGTAGTAGCAAACCTAAAACCATAAAAACGCCATAGTTAAGCCATCTGCGACCACGGAGAACTCACCCATTTGGAATACCACGGGTTGTGGTGCCTAAAACTCGGCATTCAAAGAAGTTTTGATATTTATAAGAGATACAGATGAAGTCAACCCAATAGATATTGGGTATACTTGGTTTTTGGGATCTTTATTGTGACCACCAGTCATGGTTGGTTACTGGGATCGTCTATAAGTCTATGATTGGGTCTACCACATCATAATGGATCTAACCGCCCAAAAGCATATCGATTTTGAGGGATTTCAGGCCCAGAATTGGTTGAAGGGAAAATGTACAGGGAAGTTGGGTCGGAATCCTCCAATCGATCACCAGACTTCTGCAATGGTTGGATCGCCAACATCCAACCCTCCCGAGGTAAAGTGGAATGTGTTGAAGGTGGCTTAAAACTCAGTTTCAACACTGGTCGTATCACAACGCTCGAGGGCCAGGCAGACACGGACAGGATCCTCGCGTTTTTTTTCCAGATGGGGTAGTCCCATCCAGTCATATCAGATAACATGAACAAATCCAATACATAAACTAGATAACTAGGGCTTCTAGGGTAGTAGACATAATATTAGGGGAAGGCCAGGGGGAGTCATATCAACTACTTAGGTACAACTGGTCTTTATTTGGACTATCCATTGGTCCAAAATTGATGGATGCCCCAACCATGCAATCCCTTGCTCAAAAAAGATGAATTTGCGGTTCCCCAATTTTGGGAACCACCATATGGAAATGGATTTTGACGTCAACAACTATGTAGCAGATTGTTGTGTTCCTGGGTCCACCATTATTTGTTGCTCTTGCCGATTCAAGAGAATAACCGAATAACCCATTGAGACATTGAGATGCTCTAGGCACATGATAAAAACTGTGGCCAGTGGGAGGTTTTGGTCTGAAAAATGGCCTTATTATGCCTTATTGGATCTTATTGGTCTTGCAGTCATCCTACATGAAGATCATGAAGTAATTAGTCTACTGGTTAATCCTCGACCAGCCTCTTGTGGCCCTGACGTGTCTCCAGGGAGAGCTCTTCGGCCCATTTGAAGCGCCCATGGGTTTCTACATCGATGGTGCCTTGGGGGGCCGCTTTTTCTTAGCGCCGAAGTTACTTTTATTGAATTCATCCCATGAATGAAGTTTTTTTAAGCTAGATATAGGATGATATGGGTCCCATGGGTCTGAAAATGGGGGAAGTCCCACATCTCTGGCCAGTTCGGGGACCATGGGGATCAACCATCCTAAGAGATCACAAAAAAGACACTTAACAAGGGTCCTAGGGGGACTTGCACCTTGGCAACGGCAGAAGGCGGACATCCATTGGTTTATTGGGAAACCAGTATAGCGAGTAAGTGTGTGCAAATACCCCACTTTTTCGCATGGTTTCTTTTTTCGGTGTTTAACATGAACGGAGGGATTCCTTTTTTTTTAGGCAAATGTCAGTGCATCACGTTTATTCAGTAGACCACGGTTGTCGTTTTCCAGGTGTCGAGGTTGGGGTCAGAGTTAGGGATCATGAATGCAGTGTTTTCGATCCGCCCAAAGAATCACAACACAAACTTCTAGAAACGCATCGCTTCAAGAAGATTACAGAGGCTTCATTTCACCAGATCATGCCCAGTTTGATGAAAACAAGTCAAAAAGCACTCATTATTTGAAGAGCCAAATTGTTTTCAGGTTTGAAATTCCACTGAACCAACTCAAACCGACTCATACCAACCCTCTATGTCTATGTACATGTGCAATCATGTGCATATATAATCATATATATATACACGTATAAATGGTACTCCACTGGCCAAAGATATTCCAGCAATTTTCATAGTCCATAGTGGTTACTGTATGTACATTGTAATCATGACTGTACATTTTTTTGGGACCAATCATACTTTCAAAATCATCAAATCAGCATTTTTCTGGAAGTTCGCTGGATGAATACCATGAAAACTCAGCTTTCAATCCAGGTTTTCCCAGGTTTTCCAGGTCTTCCACCCACCCAGTCGTCCAGTCCGTGTGGAGCCTCGGAGCCTCGCCGCACGACTCGACTCCTCGCAGGTTTGCGTGTGAAGCCCTTGGATGATCCTGTGGATGGTGTGAAGGCGATCGCATGGGGATGAGAGTCGCTGAAAAACCCAAGGGAATAGCCTCTGCAATGTGAGGCCCCCCAGTGATGTTAGTTGGTTTAGATTCGCCCCAGTAACTAGTTCGTTATAAGTACCATAAACCAACTTAGCTATCTTGGGGGCCTCACATTCTGGTTATGTCAACAGTTTGCTATTGAAAATAGTGATAGTTGCTATTGAAAGTGGATTTACCCAGCTGGAACATGGTGATATTCCGTTATGTAAACGCCTACCAGAGGGGATGTGAACGTGATATGTTTCTATGGGAATGAGGGGCATCCATGAATGTTGATCTGGATGTTGATTATATATAATCCCGTTCACGTATAATACATGTATGGGAATATACCCAGAAATTTTAGGGATTTCTATGGGAATATGCATGTTAATGAGAGTTAGGATGGTTAACCATTTCCCACTATTAAGATTGTTTAGCCATCAAAGTTGGATTTTTTTCTGGATTAGGATGTCATGATATTAAAGACCCCTACATCCACCAAGGTGGATGTAGGGTATGAAATTACGTAAATTTGGGACCATTGAGGGTGTGGTTAATACTGTTTAATGTTAGGGGGATGGGAATAGTGGAAACTAATCAAGAGCTGGACCCTTAATGAACAGTTGAAACCTACTCCAATCCCTTGATTATTTGGTAGGGTCGTCAGACGGTCGTCATGTGAATTTTGGGAGGCTATGACTGGGACCACTCAGAAACAACAAAAGGTGAAGATTGAAGATGGCCAGGATTGCAATACTATGGTTGTAATATGTTGTAATGGTGTATATTGTTGTTGATCACATGCTGTAATTATATACTGTACAGGATAGGGCCCCCAAGATAGCTAAGTTGCCCTACAAGTGGTTTAACTATGGTTTATGGCAGATAATGTAGAGATAACATGATATAACTATAGTTCGTGGGGTTTATAAACCAACAAACATAACTGGGGGGCACCATCCTGTATTAATAAACTATGATAATATATGTATATATATATGATATTTATATTTATATATATAATTTATATATATATATATGATATTTATATTTATATATATAATATTTATATATAATATATATATATATCATATTTATATTTATATAATATTTATTTATATATATATAATATTTATATATATAATATTTATTTATATATATATATGTGTGTGTAAAGGCTGTAGATACACACACAACATCACTGCTCCGCCTGGATCTGCAGCTGATGCGCGTCGCAGGATTGCGTCACGGGCATTGACGTGGCACCGTTGCCCTCCGCCGCAGAATACGATTGTTCCAATGCCCTGCTATACACTGCAGAGCAGGCGGGGGAGAGGGATGGCGACCTTGATCTCGCAGTGATTTGACCAAAAAAAGATGGGACATGAGAATAAAACCACTGGACTGCGGGGTATAAGCAACATATTTCCAGAGTGGGATGGCTCGTGGCAATCTGACAGATATTGAAAGCCACAGGGCCCCACATTTCGAACAGACCTGACCTCACCTTCACTCTCCATGGCAAACTTGGTCGTGGACGCCACGTCAAGGGTTTTGCTTCGGGTGTTTGTTTCACACAGCTGGCAAAGGCCAATCTTTCACCAATGTTCTTGCTGGCATAGATTTGGGGAGCCTTTGCGTATTAGTTCCAGACGTACTGTAGTTTGCACCCACTTAGTGCGCGAAGCTGCTTGGGTGGCAGTGGTTTTTGGCGCCTTTCCTCACCATGGAGGTTTTGAACCTCACGGCATGTGTTTCAACATGTTCAAAGGCATGGTGAAAGGGACGGATGTTTGGTGTCTTGCTTCTTAGTCACCCATGGTCCATTGTTTAAGTATGCCGAAACCACCCGAAACCCCCACCTCGTCACCGCTTCAGCCAGTTGCTGCCCAGCCGTGCCAGGAGTATTTGCGCTCGTTACGAGAGATCTTGGCCAAAGCAGCTGTAGACGTGAATACTTTTGGAGCAGGAGGAGCAACCCCCATGGATCGAAAAGTCGTAAACCTGGAAATGATGAGGAAAATGCTATCTAATCCTCTCCCCCGAATACTAAACCTTCGCCCCCCCCAAATAATAAACACCTGTCGGTAATTTTTAATTATAGGGGGGGTATTTATTCTGAGGGAACCAAAGCAGACCCCAATGATAAATTTAGACCCTTAATATCGTTGTTTTTTTGATTTCAACATCAATTAATTTTCCTTTTATAACGCAATTAAAATATTGCCAAAAATTGAATTTCGAAGCTCCCCCCTTATAATTATTAAATTTGAAACCTTAATATAACTTACAAAAAAACTAAAATTTTCGGACGGACCCTAATAAAAAAATATAAAAAACACTCCGGGGTTGAGGTTGACTAGTTTTTATTATTAGGGGGTGAAACCTACAAATAGTAGCTTCATGTTTAAATTGTTTTCTAAAGGGGATCAATTAAAAGTCAAATTGGCCAACCTGAAAATTTAAGATGAACCCTAGTTTTTGTTATTCGGGGGGGTTAGTAATAGGGGGAAGGGATTAATCATAACATCTTGGAATACTTTTTATAGCTCGTTTTTTCGTTTTCGGGACCAGAACATCAACACTTGATCCTTTGGGGGCTCTGATTCATCCCACGTTCATATCAGCAACCAGATGCCCTTCACCCCAGGGAGGTGATGATTCCACCCTTGGGATCCCAAGGGGGATCCCAAGGGTGGATCCCTTGGGGTCTTACCCGAAGACTCAACCAATCTCAAGCCAGTTCCATCCGCCAGGAGTCACTGCGCTGATGTTGGCGTCATCGAGAGGATGCACGGGAGCTATGCGGCTCTTGCTGAGCTGTAAGGCGAAACTGCGAAACCCCGTTCTGAGGGCTTCAGGAGTGTTTGTGGTTGACTGCAGAACCCGAAGTATCCGAAGTCAACAAACCGTGTTGGCGAACATAGTGTGGGTTTGTCCAAGAAGGTATACTGATACCCCAAATCTGTAATTTTACCGGTGGAAACATGATAAGCCAGTGGATCTTGGGTTGCCCTATGCCTCCCATGTTCAGACGAACTCTAATTTCTTGTGGTTGCACGTGTATGTTTCAAGATGTTCAAAGCAAATCAGCAAATCTAGTAGTTTCATTAGTACCGCAGGGCATGTTGACTCCGGCCAAGCATCACCTGCAGTTCCAAAGTTATTTATTCGGCAAAACATGTACCCTCCCTTATATAATCAAACGTGGCTGGCTGGAAAACACCCTATCAAAATGGAGGTTTATAGCTGAGAAAGTCATCCATAAATGGGGGATGTTCAATATTAAACCCTATTATATAAATCCTATTAAATCCTATTAAACCCTATTAAGTCCCACTAAACCCTTGTAGATTCAATCAAACAAATTCCGTATGAACAATGGCCATTAAACCCCATTATCAACCCCATTCAATTCTATGTTCAACCCAACTTCAAATTTAGATCCAAAATCTCTTTCCAACAAAATTTGGAAACCCTATTTCACCCTATTAAGCCTCATTAAATTCCATAGACAATGGCTTACCCTCTGGTAAACTAACAGTTTGCTATTGAACATGGCCATTCATAGTTGATTTATCCATAAAAAATGGTGAGTTTCCATAGTTTGTTCTATATTTACCAGAGGCTACTCTCTGGTAAACGAACATAATAAACTAACATAACTATGGAAAGATCCACCATTTTATAGCTGGGTAAATCCACTATTTTGATGGCCATTTTCAATAGCAATGTTAGTTTACCAGAGGCTATATCCCATTAAATCCCATTAAATCCCATTAAACCACCAAATTCCTATGGTTTTCCTATGGTTTTCCTATGGTTTTCCAGAGGCTTAATTTCGACCCTCAAAATCTCTTCCCAACCCATCGAGAACGCCAGGCGAATCCCAACCTGGCCGATTCCGATGGCTGGACAGCGCTGACCTATGCCAGTCGTTGTGGCTCCCCTGAGGCCGTCCAGGCCTTACTGGAGTCGCTTGGAGAAACGCCTTGGAGGTCCCCCAAAATGGGGACGTTGAGCCTGGGAAAATCGGGGGATTTTCGGAAAAGGACGGTGTAAACCATGATTTTTCGGTTCAAATGGACGGTTCAAAAAAGGGTTAAACCATGTTAAACCGTGATTTTTTGGTCAGTTTCAGAGAAAAACACGTAGTTGTAAAATGTAAATGGACGTATGCAATCAATGTTTCTTGTAGAAAAGTGGTCATTGGTAAGAACTGATTACAGCAGTAGAATGTATAATATTTTGTTGGACTGTGGTCAATTCTTTAGCTACTTGCGGAGGATCAATAACCCACTCGGAGATTCTTGACGGAAATCTTTGGTACCTCAGAAGTACCCAATATCTAGAGATGGGCCCAAGATAGGTAACTTGGTGCATGTATAGCTAGGCCAACTAGCAGTTGTATGGTGAATATGATATCTATCCCATATGCTCCGCGTATGACATTTCGCTTACATTTGGTGATCTTGGCTGGTAAATGTTAGAACATAACCCACAATTACATTGGAGCATCTGGGGTGCCAGTTCTAGTAACCCCCAAAAGGATGAAACAGTAAAACCCTACTGAAATAGTGGTAACATACGTTTCCATCTTTTTGCGGCCTATTAATCTATAGATGAGCCTATTAGAATTAGAATTATACCATATTATATATTATATGAGCCTCATTATATTATTGTACTTTATTATAATTAGAAACCAACAAAGATATCACTGGGCTCTCCCTCCGCCAGCCTCAGGAAGGGTGCCACGGAGGCACTGGAGGGTTCGAGTTTTTAGCCTCAAAACTTCGGGTCAACTTTGATTGAATTCTATATAGTTGTTATTATTTGTATATAAGTGTATATAACTATACACAAAGTTATAGTAGTTATGTTTTACTATTCTATATAGTATTTTATGATATGTTATAGTACATTATCGCTGCAGCCCGGTTGACTTGCAGATCTTGGCGAGATTCACGCGTAAAGAGTTGGCGTTGATGGAGAAAACAAAACACATTTTGCTGGGTGGTTTTCCTCGAACAAAATACAAAAACATCCCGGCGCCTGGTTTACCGCGCGTGTGTTTTGGCATTTTCTCAAGAGTCTTTATGATGACCTTCATGTCTATTTCTTGGTATTTGCAGGACTTTTGAAGCAATCATCATCATGTTTGGTCACAAAATGTGGCTAGTTCCATTGTGTTTTATTTTTTCATCATTTTTCACTTGTATTTGCACGCTTTTGTGAACGCCAGGAGTAGAAAGAGGCTGTTTCAGGATGCCTTGTTTTTTGATGGATTTGCGTTTCGCCACAGGGAGACAACAAAAAAATCGGACTTTTCGGTTTTTTTCTGGCGCAGCACTTTCACTGCATGTTCGCTCGAAGAGTCTCGGCGTGTGCAAGTGCAAGAGACGAGGTCGGTAGCGTAGCATCACGTATGTGTGCAAGTGCAAGAGAAGAGACCGTGGCGTAGCATCACGTATGTGTGCTAGTGCCATTGAACGTTATTAGCCCACCCCACCCCACCCCACCCCAACCCATCTGTAGCGTAGCATCAGGTGTGTGCAAGTGCAAGAGACGAGGTCGGTAGCGTAGCATCAGGTATGTGTGCAAGTGCAAGAGACGAGGTCGGTAGCGTAGCATCAGGTATGTGTGCAAGTGCAAGAGACGAGGTCGGTAGCGTAGCATCAGGTATGTGTGCAAGTGCAAGAGAGGAGGTCGGTAGCATAGCATCAGGTATGTGTGCAAGTGCAAGAGACGAGGTCGGTAGCGTAGCATCAAGTATGTGTGCTGGTGCCATTGAACGTTATTAGCCCACCCCACCCCACCCCAACCCACCCCACCCCATCGGCCAAAAAAAACACAAAAACGCACGTACGGTAAACCAGCCGCCAGCAAAAACATGATTATAATCGATTATATGACTGTTCCTTACAAAGTCTTGACGTGTTTCCAATGTTCAAAATATTTAGATCATTCATTGTTGGACATTTATAATAGTTATACATTTCTTTGAGTCACATAAGATAGATATATGTGATTCAAAATAGCGGTAGGATATTTCTTCAATCATTAGATATTTAATGGTAAAAACCATGGTTTCCTGTAGATTTTCCCTTAAACCAATCCAATGATTCAATGATTGACGGCTGCAAAAAAAAATCGTCAGTCCTCATCGGTCAGGACAAGACGGATGGCGGCCGAGCCTTAAAGGAGGCGGAACGAACCCGGGACGACTGGGGGACCAATGTGATTATCTATTGAAAATGGCCATTTATAGTGAGTTTTCCCATTCAAAATGGTGATTTTCCATAGTCATGTTAGTTTACCAGAGGGTATCAATCCATCTAGAATCAGGCGTTCGGGACCAATGTCCTGGACATAGGTGATGGATTGATGGATTTTGAACGCAACTTATGAAGATCTTAGATATTGTTTTTCTGGATTTTGAACATCACAACTTGAACTTTCTGTTGGAGATTGTAAAGTTCAAAAAAAAAGACATTTACCAAGCCCTGTTTTTTTCCACTCGAATTTCGATCTGATCATGTGATGGACATCTGTTTGACTGATTAATGTGTGTTGTGGGTGTATAATGTGGGTAAACCAATAATAACCTACCCATTTCGGAATAGGTTATACAATAGGTGATGACTGAGGGATGGTTTATTATTGCCTTAACCACATTAGTTTTTTTTTTCTGAGGGGTTGAAGATCATTGTTACATTGTTCTTCCAAGGTTCTGGGTCATTATTGTCTCATATGGAAACATCTTCAGCACTGGTCAGCCCTTTGATGTTTTTTTAATCCTTTTTCGGGACCCCCCCGGCATTCCAAACTTCACCCCCTTTTTTTGCAATCAAACGCCAAAGTGGTTCGCGAACAAAAACACACATCAAAACAGATCTGGGAGAAATTATAATTCCTAGCACCTACCCTCTGCCAATCAAGCCTGGTTTGCTGGGAAATCCCTGAACTACGCATATAGATGCATATAGGCATTTAAGATCATTTAAGTATAGAAAAATCTCCTCGAATTAAATGCTGGATTTTCCAGCAAACCATTTTTCATTACCAGAGGCTATTTTGCAATAAGAAAGTTGTTCTTTTGCTGGCTCGGGAGCATGGTGTAGTAATGTAGCAGGAAAAAAACACTTTCATGACAAACCAAAGACATGATTTTCACCCAACCAGCAGTCACAGCAGTGCAGGATCATTCCAGAAATCGTTTTTGGTTTTCCTGATCGTAAGTTAGTCCCCGATTCCTAGGGTGACGCCCATCTATCAATGGATTATTCTATATAGTTTACATATATGTTTATATGGTTTATTCATATATTCCATGATTCTTCCATTCATATCCATAGAAAAGCATGAGATTCTACTATATTCCCATTATGAGTATATTGACTATATGCTGATTGGTGGTTTGGAACATTTTTTGTTTTCCATTTCACATATGGGATAATCCTGCCCATTGACTTTCATATTTTTCCAGATGGTTAAAACCACCAACCAGATATGGTTATTCACTATCATCTATATATAGAGATCCCATTCATAATCATTAAGTCACCATAAAATCCCATAAAATCCCATGGAAAATCCCATGCTTAAGTGGGAGGATCAAGGGTCCCACCTCTCAGCAGTCTCAGCACGGGCAGGCGCTACGTGTGAAGCACAACGCCGCCGCCCGTGCTCTGCTGCGCGCTGGCTTCGGGCCAGCGCCAGCAGGGACCTTCGCACTGGAGGGCGCGGTGAAGCCAGAGGAGCTCTGCGGTGGAAGGGATAAACAAAGGGATATTGATGGGGATATTGATATGTTTCATATATGTTTCATATACTAGTATGTTTCATATATGGTAGAATATGGGGTTATAATGGAATACGTAGAACAAGAATGTAATTAGGGATATTTAGCCACATTAAGGCGGATTCAATGGGGTTATTTGATGTGGTTAAAGATTCAGCAATCTTAAAATATTGGGGATTAAACTTGATTATATAAACTGTTATCAATCAGCAAGAATATAGTGCATCCAGGTTTTAAATGTTTTTGCTGAGGATCTATGTGGATTGATACTGATCTATCCAAGGAAATTGGGATCTCCAGATTTTTTCCAGCAAAGTTCCTAATTCAACTATCAACAAGAAGAGGACTTTTGGACATTCAGCAATGACATGTGGGGCTTAGTTGCCGCAGAAAAAACGTCGTGGTTTTCACGGTGTGTTTGTCTGGAAATGAGGGTAAAACCCCTCCAGAAATACGGCCATCTTAGTGATGAAATCTTGATGTCTTAAACCTTTTACAACCGTCCCAAACTGGGAGTTCCGAATTTTGGAGACAGATCTGGTTGGTGGTTTGGAACCATGGAATTTTATTTTCCATATATTGGAAAAAATAATCCCAACTGACGTTCACTCCGTCATTTTTCAGAGGGGTTGAAACCTCCAACCAGTCATATTTTCCTCAAAGATTCGGATCCCTTTCTAAGGCCTTAGGCCTTGCTTCGAGGCCCATGATGAAAAAAAACGTCGTCCAGCTCCGGCACCCGTTCCGAAGTGAACATGTCATTGGTACGTCAAATTCCATGATGATAATGGATAATCAAACATGGATATTTTATGATATTTGACATACATATATTATATAAAATGTTATATCAATGTCTATATGATATTTCATAAACAACATGTTATATAATATGCATAATAATTTCTAGACCCTCCATGTCTACCGTCACCCCTTCAGTAATGAATGTGGCTGCCTGCCTCTGCCATGTCTACCGCTTCCACTGCGGGATGGCTTGAGCCATCCCGCAATGGTGACGACTGGGGATGTTGGCTATGAAATTGTGCGAATCCCACAATGATTACCGTCTGGTAAACATACAAAAAGCTATTGAAAATGATTATTTATAGTCAGTTTTCCCATTAAACATGGTGATTTTCCATAGTTGTGTTAGTTTACCAGAGGGTATATAGTTTAATATCCATGAATGTCCAGATTTGAGGGTTGGATTTCACAATCTCCACACCAAAAAAAGACTATTCCCAATATATGCCCATAATATACCCATACAAATCCCGTTAAACTTCGGTTTTGAACTATATTCCCGTAATATTCCGGGGAAAAAACACCATTTATTCACGGCCATGGCTCTTTTGTCGCCAGGACTGCAAGTTGGATGCACCCAAAATTCTTCCTGCGGGCGGTGCCTTCTCACACCCGAAGATGCTTGGGGCAAGTTGAAGAGAGAAAAACTGGGTCGTTAAATGGGTATGGGTCAATACCTATAGATACATTTTTAGTGGGTTATTCACATCCATAAATCCCAGCTATGACTTGGGGTTCACGGCACGGTACCAGGGTTTTGACCCATCCCCAAATGATGGAAAAATCAGGAGGAACAATCATTTGTTTGAGGTATTCCATGGTATTCTCCTATTTTTTCAGACAAACCCAACTGTTTCAGGAGGTTGCCAAAGAAAATGCAATGCTTTTGATGTTGCCAACCTTAGTGCCCTAGTGAAATGTTGGCTTTTTTCACCCAGATCTGCACATGTATTTACCATAAACCATAGCTGGTTGGTGGTTTGGAAGATGAATTTTATTTTCCATATATTGGGAATCATAATCCCAACTGACTTTCAGATTTTTCAGAGGGGTTGAAACCACCAGCCAGATAGAATTTACCTCCAGAAATAAATCGACTAGGTCCCTAGCTTGGATTTGGTTTTGAGGCGGACCATGCAGGCTGGTCACATCAGAATTTATTCCTTCAAGGCGATCTTTGAGGTGGCTATGGTTTTAGCTTTAGCCTCCACCGGGTGTACCCGCGCCACCAGCAGCGAGTTTAAGGAAAGTCAGCATTTTGGCTTCTTGGCTGCAAAGGCTGCCCGGCTACGGAATCCAGCCAAACCTTGGCTTATCAACCACTATTACTGGTGTTGTATTCGTTGCTACCATTGATATTAATGTGTGTTGATGTGATATTTTTATTGGTATTGCTACTGCTACCTACTACTATCTACTATCTACTATCTACTATCTACTATCTACTATTTACTATCTACATCTACTACTACTACGACGACGACGACGACTACTACGACTACTACTACTACTACTACTACTACTTCTACTTCTACTTCTACTTCTACTACTTCTAATACTGCTGCTACTCATTTGTAAATACCCATATATAAATTATGGATCGAGAATTCTCTTCATAGACTATATAATATACTTTATTGTCAGTTCGTACTTGCGGAACTTTAAGTTGTTTATAAGTTGCTTATAAGTATGTTGTACTATGGTTGTACTAACTACAACTTCGATAAGTATACTTACGGGAAGCATGAAGTTAGGGCAAGTTATAAGATAGATCCTGCAGATATAACAACATATAAGTAGTTATAACTAAAATAAGTTCTCAGCTGGTTTTTTCCTTTTCGCAAAAAATGCAATATTGAAAAACTTATATAAGTTATGAAAACTTATTTTTTTTGCTGCAAAAATCCTAAACTTGAAGATTATACCCTTTTTCTTTGTTTTTTCTGTCAAATTTTCGATATAGCACGTGAAAAATCAATATCTTCGCGTTGCTCACTGGATCTGATGCGCAGCTTCTGTTTGCATTTGTTGTTTCAGTTTGGTGGCGCAAAGCATTGCGGAAACGATTTTCCGCAGGAAAGTGTGTCACATGCTGCTAGCCTAGATTTTTCAATTCAATAATAGCTCATGTTTCATCATCCATGCATCTTAATGTATCTTAATGTATCTTTAGGTATCTTTATGTATCTTTATGTATCTTTCGAAACCGGTTGAAAAGATACATAAAGATACGGAAAGATACGTACGTATCTTCCGGAACGGTTTTGAAAGATACATAAAGATACGTAAAGATACGTACGTATCTTCCGGAACGGTTTTGAAAGATACATAAAGATACGTCAGAAACAAAAAGATACATAAAGATACATAAAGATACGTAAAGATACATAAAGATACAAAAAGATACATAAAAAAAAAAAACTATAGCAAACTCTACAAGATTACATACGTCACCTCGTTGCCACAGTTAGCGTCCTTAAAAAAGCATTGCTTTTTTTTCTCATATGTGCCTTCTTTGAAAGCAATGCCTGGCTACAGCGCGGTCCTCTGGACCGCGTGGTTGCGGTCCTCTGGGTCGCAAAGATGCGGTCCTCTGGACCGCAAAGCTTCCAAACACGCGAAACTTGATGCAAAACAATGAAAAATGTTAAACTGTTAAACACCAAAATTTTGAAAACCTAAAAACTTTGAGAAAGACATGCCATCTCATGGATAGCATCCGGACAGTTGGGACATCATGCGCGGACAGGACAGCTGTCATATGTACATGCCAGGACAGTTGTTCATACATGTCTGCAGGAACCTGGACATGACATGTCCGACTGCGGCCATATAGGCCTAAGCCAAGATTGCTGCGTCTCCAGGCAAAACCGGCAGCCTTGTGTCTCGCAGTGCATTGCTGCCTGGTTTCACAGTGGCACCGGAGCCTGAGTCGACCCTGGCCAATTGCTTTGCACCGCTGCGCTTTGCTCTGCTCTTGGACCTGCCCTGCGGCTGGGCTACATCGGGGACATCTGGGACGCTCCTGCGGAGCTCTTTGGTGTCTTGCGGTTGGTGGCAGCCTTTTTGGGCACCGCAATCTGACCTTTGCTGGCTACTACGTGGACCTCCTTGACTTCCTGCGGATTTGCTTGGTGGGTGCTGCGTGGTGACGGCCCTGGTCACTTTTTGCTCTGGCCGTGGCTGGAAACTACTTGGACTTCCTGGACTTCCTGCGGATTTGCCTGGTGGTTGGGTGGTGACAGCCTTGGTCACCTTTTGCCTCTGGCCTGGCTGGCCGACTACTTGGACCTCTTTGCCTTCCTGCGGATTGGCTTGGTGGCTGCTGAGTGGTGACAGCCTGGTCACTTTTTGCTGCTACAGCATTGCCTAAGGCATTTGCGCTGTGGCTTTTGGCACCTTTTTGCACGTGCTTGGACCTCGAGCTCTACGTCGTAAAGACCTTTGAGACCCTCGGGCCTTGCACCTTTTTCCTTGCCGAGCTCTTTGTGACTGAGTATAACAATCTTTTTTTTGGGTTTCTCTACTTCTTGCTGGCGGCCTTGCTGGGCCTTTTTGCATTGTTGGTATCGCAATGGCTGACGATGAGAAGGGCAGCAGCTCATGGTATAGAGTGCCTACATGGAGTGGAAACCCGGCCGAATGGCGCAACTTCAAGAAGGAGATGAATTGGTGGATGGCTAGCCTGGACACCGAGTCTTGCAAAAAGTACAATGTGGCAGCTCGCTGGGCGCTTTGCCAATATGGCGTAGTGCGTGCCCGTTGCGAGGAGTTTGAACCTGATGAGCTGCTGGGAACACCAGCAGACACTATGGTCACTGAAGATGGTGAAACAGTTGAGCGTGTGGCAGCTGACCCCTTCGCTGGACTCAAGAAGCTGATGGCGGCCCTTGAGACTTCAGTTGGCAAGACGCTGCTGGACCGACGTGGTGAACTACGTGCTCAATTTTACCAAGATCTTCGACGTTCACCTGGTGAGCCCATCACGGCCTTTTGCACGAGGTTCAGGACGCTTGCATCTGAGCTGAAACGTGAGGGCATCACCTTGCCTGATGGTGAACTTGGTTGGTTTTTGAAAGATCGAATGGGCCTGGACTCCATTCGAAAGCAGTTGCTGGACACTGCACTGGGAGCTCAAGAGGGCTATGATTTGGTGGAGTCTGAAGCGCTGAGGCTTTTCAGGGATCTTCACACGGCAGATCCACTTCACCGACGTCCTCCTGACCGACCCCCATTGTTGCAACGGTTTTTGAACAGTTCGCAGCAGTCTGGACACAGTGGTCGAACTTCAGTGCCGTCCAGCGGCAGCTCACATGCTTCGACATTCCGATCTTTCAGATCGGCATCTTCCAATAGTTCTGCAAAGCCTGGTGGTTTCAGCAAGCCTTTTCAGACTGCTCCACGACAAGCTATGGTGGCTGAAGGTGTGGAGGAAGATGAACCTGAAGAAGAAGAACTTCTGCCAGCAGACGACCAAACACAGTCGGCACCGGCATCGCTGGAAGAGGTTTTGCAAGCTGAGGCCGAAGTTTTGGCATCAGAGCTTCAGCAACTGGAAGATGAAGGTTCCGTGGAACCTCAATTGCTTGAGGAGTTGGAGAACGGTGTGGAAGCAGCGGCTGAATCCCTTGTTACCATGCGTGAAGCTCGAAGCCGCATTGCGGAAGTTCGCAAAGACCGTGGCTTCGGAAAAGCAGGAACAGGAAAGGGCAATTTCAAGCCTAAGCTGCATGGCAATCTGGCCTCTGCAAAGAAGGCCACAACCAAATGTTGGGATTGCGGAGAAAGCGGACACTGGGGCGGAGACCCACAGTGCAGACGTCCCGGCGCCGGTCTTTACAAACCTAAGGGCAAAGGAAACCTCAGTGGACCGACAAAACATGTCAAAATGGTTGAAGCCTTGAACACGGAGCATGCCATAGAAGTGGTTGTCAGTGGCATCAAGCCTGAAGATGCCCACGAAGTCATGGCCTGCTCAACCCGGAGCCTTTCCTTGCCTGAGGTTTTGGACTACGTCAATGAATCCAATGCGGCGCAGACCCAAGTGCTTTCTTTGGATAAAAGGATGATTGGTGCGTTGGACAGTGCTTGCAACCGCACCTGCAGTGGGAACGTTTGGTTGAATCACTATTTGAAATCCCTCGAGAAAGCCCCAAAGGAGATCAAGGACCTCATCAAAGCATCCCCTGAAAGTGAAGTTTTTCGTTTTGGCAATGGTGGTAGCAAAACAAGTTTCATGAGATACCGTTTGCCAATGATGGTTGGTTCCTCTCTTTTGACGGTTTGGGTTTCAGTAGTTGATGTGCCAAGCCTTGGACTTTTACTTGGCAGAGATTTCCTGGATGCAATTGGCGCTGTTTTGAGTTTCTCTCGCAAGATGCTGCGAGCAGATCTACTGGATGGTTCTCTGGTGCCCTTGCGCCAAATTGCTGCAGGTCACTTCGCCTTGCGTCTGGCGCCACCCACATGGACTTTGCCAGGTGCGCTCAGATGGCGGCGAACTGGGTTAGATGGTGTTGTAGAAGTTCAAGTTTCCCCTGAAGAATGGTTGAAACGCAAACTCAGTGCTCATGCCATACATGCCAAGCCTGAACATGAGCATCTTGTCACAGAACAAGGGGAACAAGCTGCAGACTTGGTGCATTCTGGTTTGGTGGTGCAGCCTGCGAATGATGCCGCTTCGCTGCTTTTGGCTCGTCCGGCTCAAGCTATGCGCTCTTCAACGAGCTTCAGATCTACGACAACCTCCTCTCCTGCGTCTTCTGCTGACCGAGCCCTACGACCAGATGGAACCAGAAAGCCCAGTCAACGTGTCAAGGGTGATCTTGCTCCGCTGGAAAAGAATGTGGCTGCGACTGGCAAGCCGCGCAGCATGGCACGTTCATGGAATGCTCTTGTGGTTGCTGCAGCGGCCGCATCTGCGGTTCTTGCCGGTGCCCTACCCCAGTGTGATCACCATAGACCAGTGGCTTTTGCAAAGCGAGCAGATGGGAAGCAACATGGAATTTCGCTTCCGCAGCTGGCCAAGACGATGGACTTCGAAGGCCAGGCAGAATGGCAGCTTCACCCTGAGCAACATGATCGAGCTGAACGGCTTCCGAAGCCGTCAAGGCCTCAAGATGACCTTCTTGGAGGACCCCTTGCTCATGGGCATGATGGCTGCTCGACAAGTCAAAGGAGCAGCAGCTGCGATGCGAAAAGCCGCTTTGCAAGAAGCCCAAGCACAAGCAAAGAAAACCGAAGAGCGTGGTCAGAAGACCGAAGCAATCAGGCAGCTGATTGGACCAAAGGGTGGACTTCCAACTCTCAAGGCCGATCTTCTCCGGCTGGCGGCTCTGCTCCACATCATTGTCCCCGAGAAGGCGACTGTGGAGGACCTCAAGGCCCTGTGCAGGCCCTTGGTGAACGAGCTCAAGATGGATTCAAAGCAGCCTGCATCTACAGTGGCAGCCAGCGGAAGCAGTTCCAGTGGCCTCACCGTGGAGCCCAAAGCCAAGATGAAAGCTCCACCACCTGGAATGAAGCGGCCTGGGATGGACATCACCGAAAGAGAAGTGGTGCAAAACACCCACGATATGCGCAAGTGCTCCTGGCGAACCAGGAGGAGCGCTTTCAAGCGATGCTGACCCAAGTGATGCAACATGTCATGCACATGGCCAACAACCAGTTTCGAGCCACTCCTGGCGAGCTGGAAACTCCAGATGCTCCCATGGGTCAAAGCCAAGAATTGACCCCAGAACAAGAGTACCAGATCCGACGGCAGCTGCCGGAGACCTTCAAGTGGAAAACTACATGAGGCAGCATGGAGTGCATCCGGAGGAGGACAGCGAGTGGAGGGAGATCGAGGGCTGAACCCTTACAAACTCCACCAAGAGCTGAGGCCTGGACTTTCTCAGCAGATTGCACAAGCTTGGGAGCGGCATGAAAGAGACAGACGTTTGGTTTCAAGAAGCACCAAAGAGGTTGAAGCTGTGATGGACTTCGAATGGGAGAGCAATTTGATGGACTTCATGAATGAAACTTTTGTGACAACAATTGACCTTGCTCATCCCCAGCTTCGTGATCCTCTGGTGCAAGAGATTTTCACTGCTACGCAGCGGGTGACCCTTGAAGCTCAAAAACGTGGGCACCTCACTGGCGATCCACTTTCTTTGGAATCTGGTTGGGACTTTATGAAAGCCCTTGATCGCCGTGCAGCCTATGCCAAGGTCAAGCGCGAGAAGCCCTACTTTTTGGTTTTGGCCTATCCCTGCGGACCTTGGAGCCCACTGCAAAGGCTCAACCCTGCTGCTGATCTTCCTGAGAAACGTGAAGCCCATCGAGAACTCATCAGATTTGCTCTTTCTTTGGCGCGCCTGCAACTGCGCAATGGCCGTCACTTCATCCTTGAGAACCCGGTTGGCTCAGAATCCTGGAGTTTGCTGGAAATCATCAAGTTCTTGGAGGAAGAAGAGGCAAAGCTGGCACGTTTTGACCAGTGCAGATTCAACTTGCGATCTGCTGATGGGTGGCTTCACAAGAAGGCAACACAAGTGGCAACCAGCAGTGAGGCAGTTCGTTCTCACCTTGATCAAGTTCGATGCACAGGCGATCACCTTCATCAGCCTGTCATTGGTGGTTCCAATCACAAACTTAAGAATGCATCCCAGATCGTAGGGTATTAGTTTGTAGGGGTTTGCCCGTTCATGATTTTCAGGAATGCCTACCTGATCTCAGAAATGCCTAGGTGATTTGAAAATGACATAGGCATTTCTGAAATTTAGGTAGGCTAATCTGAAATTTGGTAGACTAATTTGTTGTCCAGAACGTTGTGCAAACAAATGTGGCTTCATTTTTTTACAAAATATTTAAAAAAATATATATTTTCAAAAAGATAAAATCTAAAATATGGTAAAACGTTGATTGAACGTTTACCTGCGGTTGTGTTATTATTGTGAAGAGTCTTCTTAGTAGACCTCACCTGCGTGAATTGAATCATGTCATTGCTTCGATCATGTGTGTGACTTGTGTCAATTTTGTCAATTGAACCGGTCAATTCTGTCAAAAAAAATTAAAAAAATGACATTTTTTTAAAAAATAAAATAAAAAATCACTAGGCAAGAAATCATGCCATGCCCAACATGCTTTGACCCAAGCATGCAGAAACACAAATCGACAATTGTCCAAGTGGGCAAAAGAATGAAGATGAGAAGCTGAACTCAATTAGTCAGTCAGTCAATTGTTTCAATTGCCACAATCAGCTGAAGTCAATTGATCCAATTGCCACTTCTCGCCGAGCCTGCAAGCAAGTTATTAAGAATTACTTTTGAAAAAATGCAAGCAGGACCAGCAACAAACAGTAGGCAGGCCTAGAGCGTCATCCAGACCTGATCTGGTTCTTGAGTCTTGCTTTGGGAATGCGAATGGGAATTGATATTAATAAATGTCAAAGAAGTCAAGCATGCCTGCATTGAACTCTTGGTAGCGGAGCAAGCTTGGTAGCGGAGCAGAACAATTCCAACCTCAGTACACATATTTGAAGTACAAAAAGCCAAAGGGCTAATGACTCAATTGAGCTAATTGACTGAAGCACATGAGATGGCAAGCGCTGAACTTGCAGTGCTCTGTCACTGATTGCGCATTTTTTTTGCTGGAGCAAATGCCATGTTGCCTCTTGACCCCACAGAGACGGTCAAAGTTGACAGAGGGACGCACCACTCAGGTGAGTCAGCACAAAAGAACCCTTGGGCTATAGTACTCTTGTCGCATTCAAGACACTTTTGAATGGACAACGCTGAGCAAATTGAGCGTTGTGAAGTTTTCACGAAGCTCGAATCTGCTCGTAGATTTGGGCGACACAAGCGCCAAACTCTGGCGTGTAGTGCTCGCTTTCGATGAGCATCTCCTTATTGCCAGTGTAAGTGTGGCTTCCATCCCAGCTCTGGCCACTGGAAGCCAAATTGTCCAAGCCATCTGGCCTTGGCCTGGCGATGGCTGCAAATAGGGAGCCAGGCCCTGAAGACGGATGCCAGATCTGGAGAGGCTTGCTTGTTGGGCCAGCAAAGCTTCCCATGTAGGTCACTGTCTTCTTGAAGTCGAAGAACCACAAAACATTACGAAGGGATGGTAGTTTTGGAAGCACACTCCCTGTGGGTTGCTCCAACACCGGAATGCAATCCAAGAGGAAACTGAAGAACATCATCATTGCAGTTACTTCCTGTTGAAGGTTGCCCTGCTCCACCCATGGCCTGCTTCTATCCCCGTAGAATGAATTCTCCTCATATCTCATGCTTTGAGAGATACAGAGCGGGACGAAGCTCGAGCATCTGGTAGCAAACCAGTGTAACGACTTTCGCCGAGAAGCCACTACCATGTCAAACCAAGTCCTCAGCCCCTTGGAACTCAACATGTCATGGTGGGGATGAAAAAGAATGTCCACAGAAGCTCCTTGGTGAAATCCTTGACGCAGCATCTCTCGACTGAGATGGGCTCGGCCAGCACAAAACTCAACAAATTCCAATTGATCCAATTCATTGAAATTGACCAAATTGAAAAGAAACCTTTCAGCAACCAGCACCATCATCTCCAAGCACGATGTTGCGCCGCGCAAAAAAGGATATGCTTCACACAAAAATGAAGGCCACACTTTCGAGGCCCTGCCGCCATTCTCTTGGTCAAAATCAAGAAAGTCTTGACATGTGGACTTGACATGATGCAGTCCTTCTGGCCAGTCGACACGCCTGCAGGGCAATTAACAAAATGGACTTCGAGGTTATTCATTGATCATCAAAGAATGATTTCAATTTCAATGCATGTTGTCTCAATTTTCCAAGAACAAAAACAGCATCAGCGCCTATTGAATTTGCTGAAGGCCAAGAAATCATAGAAATCTAACGAAGAAATCTGTTGGAGCTTGTCATCCAGCCATTTCTCTTGATCGTCATCTTCTGAAGCTGCACTTGGGCCTTGAAGGCTGGCACTGGCTGTCACAGTGGACAGCACCATCACCGGAAGAAACGCGAGGCCAGCTTGCTGGTCCATGATGAATAAATTGACACAAATGACCAAAATGGCAAAACCAACAAATGTGCTCATGGGCCAAAAAACCTGCGGTAAAAGAATTAATCAATCCAGTACACAATTTTGTTTGGTTTCTTCACTGACAACAATACCAGTCCAAGGCTTCTGACCCTGCGTATAAAAGTAAAGGCTTCCTGAGTCCTTGGCCTGATGATGAATCTGGCAGCCTGCATTGGCATTGAAAGACCATCCCGGCACAAACTTCAAGCTTCAATACCACTGGCCACTACACAAATCAATCTGGTTCAAGTCAATTGAGTCAATTCACAATGACACATGACAAGCAGGCCCCAACATTTGACAAAGCATTGAAAAATACCATCCAGGTGCAACCCTCAGGCTGTAATACCACACAAATCAATCAATTGAGTCAATTCACAATAAACACAAGCAGACCCCAACATGTGACAGGATTATTTGATTCCTTTTTAAACAGAACAACGAAGGTAAAGTATCAGTCAATGTCTGTTACATTGATGATGAAGATGGTAAGCAATCAATCCTACTGTATAAGAGGACTTCAGTTGTCAAAGCAACTCACCACATAGACCTATTGAAAATAACTGATGGAGACAATCACCACTATGTTTATATCAAAGATTTTAACAAATTGATGTATCAACAGGCTGGTAAGCGGAAAGCAAAGAAGTTTATTTGTCATCATTGTTCGGGTGTGTTTCATTCAGAGGATGATTTAACCAATCATAAGGAAAAGGGATGTATGGCAGTGGAAGGGCAAACTATAGAGATGCCAAAGTTTGACCCAGAGAACCCTGACAAGTTCTTCGTTAAATTCAAGAACCACTTTAAGAAACTAAAAGCACCATTCGTTATATATGCTGATTTTGAATGTTTGACTACCAAAACAGGAACAGTAAGCACCAAACCAATCAAGACTGACAAATACCAACATCACAGACCCTGCGGTTTTATGATAAATGTTGTCAATTCAATTGATGCTTCAAATGAACCATTCCTATATAGGGGTGAGGATTGTATGGATGTCTTCGTGAAAAAGATGATTGAAGTAAAAGATAAGATAATGGAGAAGATGAAAGAAAACAAGGACATCATTATGAAGGACGAAGACTGGAGGGACTTTAAAACCGCCACTAAATGTTTCATTTGTGGTGAGGACTTCAAGGAAGGAGACAAAAAGTGTAGAGACCATTGCCATTTTACAGGTAAGTATAGGGGATGTGCCCACGATGACTGTAATTTACAGTTTTCAATGCGTTATTACAAAATTCCAGTCTTCCTTCATAACTTGAAGAACTATGACAGTCATTTAGTCATTGAAAGAGCCAATCAACTATCTGAAAATGCCAAGATAGATGTAATAGCACAGAACAGTGAGAAGTTCATAACCTTCGCATTCAAGAATATGTGTTTCAAAGACAGTTTTTCATTCTTATCGTCCTCATTGGACAAGTTGGTCAAGTTGAGCAAGTATGAAGATGGACAGAAGAAAGAAAACTGGCAAAACAACTTCAAGTTCAGTAAAAGAAACCCCTATGTAAGTAATGACATTGATTTAGACTTACTCACTGACAAAGGTGTCTATCCATACGATTACTTCACTTCATTTGACAAGTTTAGAGAAAAACAATTACCACCGAAGAAAGCGTTTTACAGTAATCTCACCGAAAGTCATATTGAAGATGATGAGTATGAAAGAGAACTTAAGATATGGGAACATTTCGGTATAAGAAATCTTGGTCAATATCACGACTTATATTTGAGAACTGATGTTTTATTGCTTACTGATGTCTTTGAAAATTTTAGAGACCTTTGTTTGGAATACTACGGTTTAGACCCCGTACATTATTTTACACTTCCTAACTTTGCTTGGGATGCTATGCTTCTAAAAACTGGAGTGGTGTTAGAACCGATTACCGACCAAGAGATTTATGAAATGATTGAGAGAGGTTTGAGAGGTGGAATGTGTCAAGTGGGTCATAAGGAGGCAAAGGCAAACAATAAGTATATGAAAGACGAATATGATGAAACAAAACCATCTAACTACATCAACTATTTAGATGCCAACAACCTTTATGGACTGGCAATGTCAATGAAACTACCCATAGGAAAACTCAAATGGATAAAGAAGATGCTGACGGAACAGATGATAGTGGACTGGAATGAGAACGACGACAATGCCTACATTCTTGAAGTTGATTTAGAGTATCCAAAGGAGATACACGACGAACATAGTGATTACCCATTAGCACCAGAGAATATGAACATCACCGAAAACCTACTTTCAAATCACCAGAGGGAACTACACAGACACTACTACAATGGAAAGGAAGCAAGAGATGAGAAGACACCAAAACTCATTTTGAACCTTCAAGACAAGAACAGGTATGTAGTCCATATCAAGGCATTACAGTTTTATCTTCAAAAAGGAATGAAACTTAAACACATTCATAGAGGGGTGAAGTTCCAACAAAGGGCGTGGTTAAAGACTTGGATTGATTTTAACACTGAAAAGCGCAAAGTGGCAAAGAGCGACTTTGAGAAAGATATGTTTAAATTGATGAACAACGCTGTTTATGGAAAAACGATGGAGAATGTGAGAAAACATATGGACTTTGAGTTAGTCTCATCACAGGTAAGACTACAAAAATGTATCAACAGTCCAACCTATCAAGGATGCCACATAATCAATGAAGAACTGGTAGGAGTTTCAAAGGTTAAAGCAAAACTGGTGTTAAACAAACCAATTTATTTAGGAATGACCATTTTAGACCTTTCAAAGGTTCATATGTATTCGTTCTACTATGATGTCTTAAAAGCAAGGTATAAGGATGATGTAAGACTGATATACACTGACACCGACAGTTATGTTATACAAACTTTCACCGAAGACATCTATGAAGACTGGAAAGGGATAAAGGATTATATGGACTTCAGCGGTTATGATAAAGACCACCCTTGCTATGATGCCACTAACAAAAAAGTCCTTGGCAAATTCAAGGACGAGATGGATGGAAAAATCATCACAAACTTCATAGCGTTGAGACCGAAGATGTATTGTCTAAAAGTATTCAACGAACAGAAAGCAGAAAAGAAAGCAAAGGGTGTTCCAAAACTGAAAGTCAAAAGGGATTTAGATATGAAAGACTATGAGGCAACACTCCACGAACACATACCAAAGAATGTAAATTTCAATGCCATCAGAAGTAAGAACCACCAAATCTACAGTATAAACCAAAGCAAGGTCGGTTTAACATCTTATGACAACAAAAGGTATTGGTTCAACGATACTGACAGTCTCCCCTATGGGCACTACTCACTTTCCAATTAATAATATTATTTAACAATAATATTATCAATTGTTCATATCAAACTCCAATTACAGAGTTGTAGTTTCGGTAGTTGATATATCAGTTTGTTTTGTTTCTCCTTTTCCAGTTTCTCCACTCTTCCCACCAACTCTTTTACGCTCTTGATGAGTAAAACATCTGTTCGGGTCTTTTCGTCTTCGTCTATCTTTTTGATTTGTTCAAGGTAGTCGTTTTCAACACTGCTGTTTGAATTGCCCATTACCTATATATATGGTTTTAGATTTTTAATTCTTTGATTTGGATTTCGCCTTTGCTTTAGGCTTGACAAAATCTTTGATGAAGTTTTCAACTTCAAACAAGCGGGTTTCTAAATGCTCTATCTTTGTTTGTTGCTCTCTACATACCCCCCACAATATACCTGATAATTTTATATAACTTAACTTCTTAATGCCTTCATCATCAACCCTAACAATATCTTCCCATTCAGGAGGTATTACATTCATTAAATCATCAGCAATAAATCCAAAATGGTTTTTAGTTATTCCTATTTCTTTTTCTTCCTTCATTTTGAAAGTTTTAGGTTCAATTTGTTTAACTATGTCAGTGAAATTATGCTCAATACTTTTAATGTCATATTTTTTAGTAAAATCGGATGTATCTACTAAATCCCCTTCTAATGTATAAGGTGCTGGAACAGAAACTTTTGATGGCGTGACGAAAAGTCTTATGCTGTTATTAGCATAAAATCTTATGTCCCCGTTAGGGTCTTCATTGATGAACTTGAAATGACTAACACCTGCTGTATTTTCATTAAATATATAACTATTCTTGCCAGTTTCTTTATGAAAATATGCCCTTTTGTCTTGATTGACATATATGTCTTTTGAAAAATTAACATCTTCATCTGCTTTTCTGTATCTCATATATTCTACTGAACCGTCATTTGTTGTATTACTGCCTTGAAAAACCATATCAGCACCAACATTTCTGTGGATAAAATAGTCTCCGTAAATATATTGAGATGACAACGCCCTACCTGTTGAAACATCAATTATATTTTTAGTGCCGTCTAATGTAAAGAAATTAACACCGCCCCTTTTAAATACTACATTAGTAGGAGTGGCACTATCAATTACATCAAACTTACCACTTTCAGCAACTAATGATATACCTGTATTTACTTCTACATTACCATTTCTGAAATACATAAAATCTATGGTGTTCCTTCTAAAACTGACATCAGCATTACCGATACTATCATAGGTGTTTGATTCAGCACCTTTTGTTAGTTCCACTGCTTGTAGCGTTCCTTCAAACTTCATATATTCAACATCACCCTTTTAAAGACTAAATCAGCATTACCAGCATTTTTTGTATTGATGACATCGGTTTGCAATTCAGTATGACATACGACATCTACATTAAAATATGCCTGTGTGTTTGATAGTTGAAATCTTAAATATTGAGGAAATGGACTTCCTCCAACATAGAACCGATGTAATCCAGCAGAACCAAAAAATACAATTGTGTCAAATGTGATGGCTACAATTGCTTGACTCACTCACAGGCTGCAGCATGATTTGCAACGTTATTGATTTAACTACATTAGTATCATGTATCGTGTTGATTCTATCACCTAATCATGATTTGCACACCATACAACGTTATTGATCTAACTACATTATTATCATGCATCGTGTTGATTCTATCACCTAATATGTCTCAATATGTCTCAAAATGTCTCAAAATGTCTCAAAATGTCTCAAAATCTCAAAATTTCTCAAAATGGCATTTTGAGACATTTTGAGACATTTTTGAGCAATTTTGAGCCATTTTGAGCCATTTTGAGCAATTTTGAGCAATTTTGAGCAATTTTTTTTTTGGGCAGGTATAAGTACTTTTTAAGCAATTTTGAGCAATTTTGAGCAGATTTTTTGGGCAGGTATAAGTACTTTTTAAGCAATTTTGAGCAATTTTGAGCAAATTTGAGCAATTTTGAGCAATTTTGAGCAATTTTGAGCAATTTTGAGCAATTTTGAGCAATTTTGAGCAATTTTGAGCAATTTTGAGCAATTTTGAGCAATTTTGAGCGATTTTGAGCGATTTTGAGCGATTTTGAGCAATTTTGAGCAATTTTGAGCAATTTTGAGCGGATTTTGTGGGCAGGTATTTTGAGCAATTTTGAGAAGATTTTTGTGGGCAGGTATAAGTGCTTTTAAACAATTTTGAGCATTTTTTTTTTGGCAGATATAAGTACTTTTCAATAAGCTTGAGCAATTTTGAGCAGATTTTTGTGGGCAGGTATAAGTACTTTTAAACAATTTTGAGCAATTTTGAGCAGTTCGTTCAAGTATTCATAGTTTTGAATATTCATCTCCATGAACTTGACATTATGTCTTCATATCTAAATTTAAATTCTGGAAATATATTGTGTGAGTATATTGGTGAATATTGAATCCAACTGAAGCAGCTGAAGCAACTCAATTGACACAATTGACACAATTGATGAATCATGTACTGCAAATTGATGCATTTTTGAGACAAAGACCACGCCTGCTGTTCGAAGAACACCACCAAGGCCAATCATTCGATCTGCCTCACACATGGGGATGTCACATCTTAGTTGAGCCATCACTTACACCATTCCTACTTGACCAACTTTTAATTGACACATTTTTTAAATGACATAATCTGGCTATGAAACCACTCTTGCTGAGACAAAAACCACGCCTTCTCATCCAAGTAGTCCACCCAGCCCAATAAACCCCACAGATGTCTCAATGACTCAACTTCTACACAATTGACAATACATCAATTGAAACAATTGACTCAATCAATTGAGATAATTCTATGATTTGAGAACTACACACTTAGTGCATCCTATGTTAACTGAGCCCATCCCACCAAGCTTCATCAATGATCTGCCTACCGAACAACTTTGAACAACAAGTTAAACATGAAGCATCCGCTGCCATGACAGTGTTTCACCTGCTTCTGCAACATGATCACCTTGCACTGGGATTAGCATTCACCTTTATTAGCTTCCTTTTTGCATAGCCATGGTGTTTATGAGCACTAGGCTGTGGCTGTTCACAGGGACCATCCACTTGCAATGATCTGCGCAAACTGTCATTGCTTCATTCTTGCTTAAACACGATAGCATGGGCGCATAGACTGGAAACAAACACCAAACCTTGATTCCTTTGTCTGTCAAAAACCATTCACTGCTTTTTGCAATAATTAGAACAAGCACTCATTGTTCAACCTCATTGATGCCCACGCATGCCCACACTTAAGATTCCAGCTGTAAATGACACAATTGATACAAATGACACAAATGCCACAAATTGATTGAGCTCAATTGGCCCAAAAAAACAAAAAATATGCCATGCATTCTCACCGGGAAGACGAATGCGAGGCATCAAGCTCTTCTTGACCTGGAGTACAAGCGCTTCTTGATAAGTTGAAGATATTTTTTTTGATATCGAATGTGACATCAATGTTTTTCAACTATCATGAAAGCTCACTCATGACATGTCAAGCCAAGTTGCGAATTGCGTTGCGCAACCAGTCATTTGACTCGAACTTGCTCCCCCAGCGCAGCAACATGTTCATCCTTGGCATTGACAAACACACAATTCCAAACAACAAAGCTGAGCTTCAGAAACCAATTCACACAATTCAAACCATTGTTGGTCTTGACGCAATTCCAAACCTGTTGTCCAAGCTGTGAACCAAATATCTCAACACGCAGACCAGACACATGAGCTTGATCTTGTGGCTCCTGGAGACCTTGGCATTGCGGATCATGCTGCGCACACCCTGGTTGATGTTGTAGTCGTCCAGGAGCTCAGTCCTCGGTCAGAATCACAGGCAGGCATGGCATGACACCACATGAAATGAATGACATGATGCAAATGTCATAAATAATATTATATAATGTATTCACTCCTCTTCCAACAGCTGGACTGCAGCCATGGCACAACACCTCCTCCCATCCATCACCACCTTCAAGATCACTGTCAAGCAAGCTCTGCAAGAAGGTAATCTGCTGCTGGATCATCTCCCGCACATAGGGCTGGCTGAGCTTCGCCTATCAGCGACAAAGGGAAACAACATGATTTAATTAAATTTAAATGCCAATGATATTACTCAACTGGAACCATGCAACATGTCATCAAATATGGCCACGACAAGGCTTTGTCAATTGAAACAATTGTATCCTGGCCTTCTTCTGTGCTGGGGTCATGGCCTGGAGCTCATCCACAAGCCCAAACCCTGGGGCCGCAGTGACCTCCTCCTCTTTCTTGACGTCTGCGCCCTCAGTCTTTACTGCCTCTTCCTGTGGCCCTTCCTCCTTAATTGCCTCCCTCTCCTTTGGCTTGGGAGCTGGCCTGGTAGGTTTTGAAGGAGGCCGAGGCATGGGCTTGGCAGCCGGGGGCTTGCTGCCACTGGCAGAAGATGACGAAATTGACGCAATTGACCCAATTGGTGCTGTGGCAATGGGCCCAATTGACCGGGGTGGAGGTAGACCTGGTGGAGGGGCAGCCTCTGTGGATTTGCCACGCTGAAATTTGATGCTAGCCTCTGGCCACACTTCCCTCCACAGGTTTCGGGCCCTCTCCAGGCTCTGCTCGAAGTCCTCCTCGGTCCAGGCCACACCTGTCAAGTCGTCGAGGTTCTGAGTCAGGGTTCGCATGTTCCTTAGCAACACTGAGCCATGGCAAGGACCAACAAGTCGTTGAATGAGTCAATTGAGGCAATTGAATCAATTAAAAACATTACAAGATTACTGCCATTGAATCAATTGAGGCAATTCAATTGAGACAAATGTTGATGGTTAAAAAACCATTATGTTTGAAGACAGAACTTATTGTGAAGGTAAGAGAACTGAATTGCTTCGCATTTCGATCCCACAAGTTTATCACTACAACCCCCCAAGTGAAGCATCCAAACAGCTCAGCTCAATTTGAGGCAAGCCACACATTGGGCGAACCCTGAAGAAACGCGATGGTGTTTGTGCAATCCAGTTGCGGATTCATGCTCAGCTTCGCGCTAAAGAGCACCACTTCGCACCCCGCAATCTGCAAGATCCGGATGATCACACTGGCCGTCCCAAGTGTCCGGTGCCAGCCCCAACTGCAAGTCAGCCTCAGCAAGACAAGTCTGAATGTGCAAAAGTTGAAGCTTTGACTGAGTGAAATTGCTCTTCTGAAATTCACATCAAAACTGTGAATTGCTCCAACACATTCAAATGACACAATTGCAAGCATCACAAGAAGAATAATAGGTCAAGACTAGCCAAATGCAGACAGGAAACCGGATGATGTTCCCTGGCCGGGACAAAATGTCCAGGACCACCGACTTGAACCCGCTGTGGCGGATGACCTAAATGAGAGAAGCGCTACAAGGACTACATTCAAATAAAGCAATATCAAAGACCCATGAAGCAAATGATCCATAACAACTGGCTCAATTGACAGTGCATGCCATTTGACAACAATTGATTCAATTGACAATATTTAATTCAAACACCACTGCCACTTGACAGCTTGACTCAATTGACTCAATTGACAACCTGCTTGCCATTCTGATGCCAAGCCACTTCCTCCTGCACCTCCGCGTGCAGGCCGCTCATCCTCTGCTTGGTTTGGTCGTGCTCCTCGAAGCTCCTGAGCATCCAATCCCAAACCACAATGATGATATCATCATCAATGCATTCAAACATTCTGATTTTGATCTTAATTAATGCATCAAAGGCACTGGCGTGTCAGCTTCAACGGAAGCCTGTGCTCCCACACCTCCTTCATCGGGTCACGCAGGTGACCACATAACTTTTCGATGATCCTGACCACCTGAGGTGGTGGATCCTGCAACCAATGAAATGCACAAAGCAATTTGATCAAATCAAACACAGATCAAACACAGCCGCTAGAGAACTATGCAAAAGTACATTAATAATTGTCAATTTCCATCATGATCATGACTCCACAAGGCCCTGTCCTTCCACCCACGCCTCGCATTGCCCGATCCATACCCCAGGATCGCGACTCGTCGAGGCCAGTGGACCAGTTGTGAGTTCCAAAGCACGATGGGAACCTGACATCATTACCAAAGCAGACAATTGCCAGCACTTCAACACTTCACATGACTGACACAATTGACACAATTGACACACTTGATCCAAACCAGCCAATGTAATTCAGCAAACTTCTTTGATAAGCCAAGAAACTGTGGTTTGGTCACTTTTTTTTGGCGACCCAACTGACGTTGTCATACTTGATGCCCTTGTTCTGGTGGTACCTTGGTAATGAACCAGCTGAAAGCCATCATTGGCAACAATCAAAGCAGAACATCCTGCAATGCAGGTAAGTTACTCCTTCAACTTTGTCCTCGAAATCGACAGAACGTACTTGAGGATGTCAACAGGCTTCTTTTTCTCCACCAAATCCCTGAGTAACAATCAAGTGAATTGACCCACACTTTCTCTGACAATTGACCCAATTGAAGAGAACTCACCACAACAAACGTTAAACATCATCAAATGAAACATAGAAGCCCAAATCAGCAAACTTAATCCCACTTCTTTGATCCAAGGGGCACCAAGTCCTGGGCGTTGCTTGGGCACTCAAGGTGGACCAAGTAGATTGCCTCAAGCAAGCAGTTTGCTAATGCACTATTCCCAGATTCTAGTAACAACGTTGAAATTTATCTTGTGACACTCTTGAAATTAAGCGACCTGTTTGTTTCATGTGCGATCAAGCGACCTGTTGCGCTTTCCTTGGCCACTTGCTCACCGTTGAGCGCCACTCAGACGGCAGGTATTGCACAGCAATCGAGGCCGAAGACATTTAATACATTTGAAATCAAATTGTTTTGCGTTTGTTGTTGTTCATTGGGTTGCCCTTTAAGGATGTTTTTCTGCATGATGCATGACTTGTTTTCAAATCTGTTTTGATACAAATGACGCAAATGACGCAAATGACACCATTGATGCAATTGAATTACTGTAATCAAAATCATGTGCTGGGGCACCAATTAATGCTTCGAGCACTAGTTGCTTCAGGACAACTGCCATATTGTCATGATTTGCAACCACAAGTAATTCAAGTACAATGCAATTCAATGAATCAAATTGAATGACTGGCACTTGAACAACACAGGCCTCGCCTGGGTGTATCCATGAGCCTGCCACCAATGTCACAAAGGCCTGCCGAAATCTTGTAACCGACGCATGGCTAAAATGACACTCACTTCCCCTGGTTCACTGAACTGACTTACCGGGAGTCAATTGACTGCAAATGACACAATTGACATTTCAAAGGAAACAAAGCTGAGCCTGCAAGTTACCACCAGCCACCTTAAGACACAAGAAACTAAGATGCAATCACATCTCATTTGCTGCCATGAACAAAGCTTGTACTGTAAAGGAACCATGTCCCATTCAATCAATGTGCACTGACAGGCTGAATATGATTTTCTTTTTTTCCAACATGCAATCAGGTTACGCTTACGTGGTGGTTTGGGTTGGTGGTTTGGAAGTCTGGGAAATCAGTGTTTTCGAAGTATTTTATTTTAATATAAAAGTGTATAATTTTATGAAAAAAGTAAATTAATATTTTATTTCATAATAATTATTTTAATAATTCTATTTTCTTACTGACTAATTCATTTACTTTTCAAGTTTATGATTGATTAGTCTTGCAATAAATAATTAGATTCTAGATGAGATAGATAAATTTATTATTAGATGGATGGGATGGGGATGGGATAGACAGACAGACAGACAGACAGACAGATAGATATATAGATAAAAAGATAGATAGATAGATAGGATAGGATAGGATAGGATAGGATAGGATAGATAGGATAGATTTAGTGGTTAATTGAATTGGTGGGTTGGTTGATTGATTTGATTGATTGGATGGATGGATGGGATGGATGGATTGATTGATTGATTGAGAGCTGGTGGAGTCGTGGTCTCTCGACTTGCTGCAGCAGACGCTCTTCTTGACCATCTATTCACCATCTGCAATTGGCGACCACAATTGATACAAATCACGCAATTAAGACAAACAGCAAATCAATCAACACAAATCACGCAACTTGAGCCCTATTGCCTCTGACATTCTTTTCATTCATCCGTTCTTTCACATAATTTGATTGATGCATTGGCACAGCTGCTGGATAATAAATAAAGCCCTGGATGAGTAGAACAAAATGAACAATTGACTCAATTGACCAAATCACTTTTCAAGATGAAAATGACTTTGCCAAAAGTGCTTGTCAAAGAAATCCTGGGGCCCCCACCCTGAATGAAGTTGACGCGCTGCAGCCCCTCCTTGAAGCATCCAAACAAAACATTGACCTGCAAACATCCAAATGACGCAAATGACACAATTGACGCAAATCATTTGTCAACGAGACATGTTTGCAAACTAAGGCCCGAGCAGGTGAATGACAATGTAGTAACATCTCAAGCAATGACTCAATTCAGAGAATCTCAATCTGAAACCACTTCACACCACAAGCATTCAACATCAGAAATGGAAGAAACACAACAGATGCAATTGACACAATTGACTGACTGACTAATTGAGGGGAAGATGTTGGCATGTTTTTGTGAGATATCACATCAGCAACAGGAAATATGCATTGCCATGTGACCTGGGGATGCATCCTGACGTGGATATATGTTCATACATCCTGGACATATGCAAACACAGGTACTAGACATGCCAAATAAATAGTAATGTTGGCAATGTAGTAAACTTGATGATTGAAGTTCCATCACCAAGCTCTGCTCTCATTGCCAATAAGACAACCATGCCACATCCATCAAGGATACTAATTCATGTCAGTTCAATGTTTGTTGGCGCATAACTTTTAAAACTTTTCAATCTAATATAAATCATTTTGTTTTTACTTTTCATTTTTTTCACTTTTTCACGTTATAAATCGTTGTAAGACACGGAGGTGTTATGACATGTTAGCACGTGACACTTTTTGCTCAAAAAGTACTTTTTGAGATGCCCAAAACTCCCTACAAATTAATCTCCCCACAAGCTGGTCGCCATTCCGAAGTTTGTGATCCAAGATCACTGCAAGAGCTGGGCATTACCCTGGTCAACTTGCCAAGACCATGGTGTTGGCTATGGAGGAGGAATTTGAGCGGCAGTTCAGCCCCAAGCCCAAAGAAGCTCTGGCTGTGGAAGATGGAGGTGGTGATGAAATTTCAGGTGATGAAGAAGAACGACTAGCCCCTGGAGTTGATGCTCCCTCTTCCTCGGAAGATGGTCAGCCTGATGGACTTGGACTTGAAAAGGCTGCCATCTCTCCAGCCGTGAAGCAGGCAATCAAACGCCTTCACGAGAACACGGGGCATAGATCAAACAAGAGGCTGGCACGTGCTCTAGCTCTGAGCGGAGCACCACCTGAAGTGGTGAAGGCTGCACGCCTCCACAAGTGCAGCGTGTGCCAAGAAATGAGAGCTCCAAAGGCCAGAAGGCCTGCATCTCTTCCAACACCTCGAGATGTCTCAGACCAAGTCCACATCGACATCTTTGAAGGGTACGATCTGGCAGAGCAACGATTTTACATCGTGCACGTGATCGACCACTGCTCAAGATTTCAACTTGCAGAAGTGCTGCCAGACAAGAGCTCCGCCTCAGTGATCAAGTTCATGAAGAAGCGCTGGTTTCCCATTTTTGGAGCACCGAGAGTTCTTGTTGCTGATCAAGGACGTGAATTTGTGTCATGGGAGTTTGAGCAACTTTGCTCAGAGAATGCAATTCTCCTCTGGCACTGTGCAGTTCAAGCGCCTTGGCAGAATGGTCTATGTGAACGCGGCGGTGGCATCATCAAAGCTCTTTTGCACTCCATCGTCAAAAGCCAAAGCGTCACTGGCAAGGAAGATATGGACTTAGCCTTGCAAGAGGCCATCACTGCCTACAACGGCGATGTGAATGAACTTGGTGTTTCGCCAGCACAAGCGGCACTGGGCAGACAGCCCCGCCTTCAAGGCGATGTTCTTGGTGACTTTGGTCAACGGGTCGCTGAGCATGGACTTGTTGACTCACGCCCAAGTTTGGCCAGACAGGTTGCAATGCGAGAAACAGCCAGAGTGGCGATGGCAAGACTCCACTTTTCAAGAGGCTTGCGCCGAGCTTTGCTGAGCAGGTCACGAAATACCACAGTGACACAACCTCTTGAACCTGGATCCATTGTGTACTACTTCAGGCAGACCAAGTACAACAACAAGACTGCTGGATCCCGAAAGAAGTTGAGCCTGCGTCGCTGGCATGGTCCTGCATTGCTGGTGGCAAACGAAGGTGATGTGAATTGTTTTCTTTCACACAAGGGTCAGTTGACCAAATGTGCCCGAGAGCATGTGCGCTTGGCAAGCACCATGGAGCAGATTGCAGCCGAAACATGGCGTGATGCAATTGATGAAGTTGTTGAAGCAGCTCAACATGACCAAGCTCTACGACAACGAGCTCAAGCTCAACCTCCTGAAGCAGTTGCGAATGCTGAGGACTCTGAAGCAGTTCAAGCTGAACCTGCGGCATCAGTGGCTCCTGTTTTTCCACAACAAGCTCAACAAGTAGCCAGTGCGCCTACCGATTTACCACCGGTAGCTCCGCAAGAATTTGCACAAGCCTTGCGACCTGCGCATGATGGTGGAACAACAGCAGCTCCCACAGTGGCATCTTCCATGCCGCCATCTGTGGCATCCTCCAGAAGGACAACGCTGCGAAGCAGATCTCCTGTGCCTGAAGCGGTGCTTCGAGCTGGTTTGATGGCTCATCCGACAACGGCTCCTGCGGCCTTGTCTCCTGCTACGCCTGTGGCACCTGCAGCACCGAAAACGCCTTCAGCACCTGCGACACCTCGACTTGGTCGCGCTGTGGAGCGAGCAAAGGAGATGACTGCGGATCCTGTTGCTGGAAAACGAGAAGCTGAAATGACTTTGGATGAGCTAGCCAGAACGCTCACCCCGAAAGCTTCTTCTACGGCAAGTGGTTCCAAGAAGCCTTTTGATGCGTTGGTTTTGTCTCATGATGAGGTGAAAGAAGTTCAAGCGGCACTCCAACAAGATGATCTTCACCCTCTGAGACGCCTTTTCCTTGAAGCTGCAGCTGAGGAATCAAATCCTATGGACTTTGAATGTGAAGATCGTGGCACTTGGAAAGGTTCATGGCCCCTTCCTTCGAGATCTCAACTGCAAGCCATGAAAGCAGTTGGAACTATGTTGCCACGAGGAGAACAAGAAGCTATGGCCGTGCAGACAGCCCGCAAAGAGTACAAGTGGCGTGACATGACGCCTGAGGCCAAAGCTGAGTTCCGTGAAGCTGCACAGAAGGGTTGGCAAACATGGGTTGACAATGATGCAGTTGAAGTGCTGAGCCCTGATGAGGCAAAGCGTATCAGAGAGAACCTCAAGCAGAGCAACAAATCCCATTTGATCCTGCGCCCCCGCTATGTCTACACTGACAAGAACGATGGCCTGCGTACTGAGGAGCGACAGCTTCCTTTGGAGGCATCTGCAAGACTGGTGGTGCCGGGATACAAAGATGTTTCAGCATATGAAGTTCGAAAGGACGCCCCGACGGCATCCAGGACATCAGTCCATTTGCTTTGGTTTTCACAGCCTCCAAGGGTTGGCACCTTTTGAGTGCAGATGTGAAAGCAGCATTTTTGAAAGGTGAGTTGTTTTTGGATGGTGAACGCATCCTCTACATCGAGAACCTCAGCACCAATGACCCGACAGAGCCTGGTCTTCCTCTTGGCGCTGGTGGTTTAGCTCGCCTCAAGAAGGGCATTTTTGGTTTGAGTGACAGTCCAAGAAGGTGGTACCTTCGATTGCACAAGTCCCTCACAGCCTTGGGATGGAAACGGTCTTCCATTGACTCCGCCCTTTGGATGCTTTGGTCGCCCACTGGTGAATGCGAAGGCATGATTTGCAGTCATGTTGATGATTTGCTATTTGGTGGAAACGACAGGGCGAAGCAACTTTTGCTGAAGCTGGGAGAAGAACTTGGCTATGGAAGTTTGGAGGAGAAAAGCTTTCACTACTGTGGCAAGCTGATCAAGCAGCATGGCGATGGAAGCATTTCAGTTTCCATGGAGGAGTACCACTCCAATTTGAAGCCGTTAGTGATTGCAGAAAACCGGCGAAAGACGCCAGAAGCAACATTGGCACCTGCTGAGCATAAACAGCTTAGAGCCTTGCTGGGCAGCATGCAATGGTTGGTGGCACAGGTCCGTTTTGACCAAGGTTTTCAACTTTGCACTCTCCAAGGAGAATCTCCAACCATTGGCACTATGTTGCGTGCAAACCTTTTGCTGCGGCGCTTCAAACAGACGCCCAAGTTTGCTTTGTGGTTTCGACCTATGAACTTGGATGGTTGTGGCCTCCTGGGTGTTTCAGATGCCTCTTTGGGCAACGTCCAGCGAAGTGGTGCTGCTGGAGAAGACCCCATGCTGAAGGTCTACAGCCAATCAGCCTACTTGATCCTCATCGCGGACAAGGACTTGATGGCTGGGCGCCCTGGCAAGTTTGCAGTGTTGGATGCAAGAAGCCACAGGTTGACCAGAGTTTGCAGGTCAACGTACGCGGCTGAGCTTTTGGGAGTGGAAGAATGCTTCGACGTGGGCATTTACCTACGTGGCTGCTTGGCGGAAGCTTTTGGACTTCCTGTGGATGGCAAAGATGTTTCTTCATCGCTGTCTCAAGTGCCTTTGACAGTGGTGACTGATGCGAAGGACGTCTTTGACAAGGGATGTTCCGATACTCCAAGCTATGGGTCCCAAAAGAGCCTGGCATTTACCGTGAGTTGGTTGAGATCAACATTGCGGCAGCCCCAAACGTGCTGGCGGTGGACTTCAACGCAAAACATGATCGTCGATGCGCTGACGAAGGACATGGATGTGAGTCATTTTCATCACATCCTGGAGAAAGGCGAATGGTGCGTGAAGTTTAACCAGGACTTCATCAAGCAGACCTCCAAGGTTGCAAAGTCCAATGCCGTGGCCAACGAGGTGAAGGTGGGTAAGCCGATGAGCCCTGCTGATCCCCTACTGAGCCGGCTTGCGACGCTGAGTGAGAGTCCCGGGTGGCACCAACAAGATGGTGTGGTAGTGCACGTGGCTCGAAACGCCAGAGCCTTTAGGACTCCCAAACCCAGACATGACCCTGAGGAGTTTAGTCTCAGGAGCTCATATGGTAGGTTTGACCTGAAAGATGGCAGTGCCGAATGGAGGCAGCTCGAACAAAACGTGAGCTACGGAGACCTCCCGTACAGCTGCACTGGCCTGATTGGGCAAACAGCGAATGTGTTGGTGACCTTCTTCCGGATGCCATCTCATTTCAACAAAAGAAGGGAATCTACTGAGAAAGACATGCCATCTCATGGATAGCATCCGGACAGTTGGGACATCATGCACGGACAGGACAGCTGTCATATGTACATGCCAGGACAGTTGTTCATACATGTCTGCAGGAACCTGGACATGACATGTCCGACTGCGGCCATATAGGCCTAAGCCAAGATTGCTGCGTCTCCAGGCAAAACCGGCAGCCTTGTGTCTCGCAGTGCATTGCTGCCTGGTTTCACAAACTTATATAAGTTATAACAACTTATTTAAACTTATCGAAGTTATGGAACATAGTTGTTTTCAAGGAAAACATAACTTCCATAACTTCCATAAGTTCACTTATATGTGCTACAACTGCTATAACTACCACAACTTACTTATAACTTCCGCAAGTACGAACTGACAATAAAGTAGAATAGTTGTTTGCAAATGTTTATATGATGCATTATTGTTTTCTTTGCCATGGTACATATAAACCCCATTCTGTACAGATATATCTACCATCAACCTAATCGTTTTAAATGAAACACACCAACTTAGCAAACTCAACCTAATTTCCCATTCTTCTTGCTTACACCTATTAAAAAACACCCCTTTTTTGTTGACTCCGCCTACATTTTCCGATCCAAACGGCCGCCCCATCGCCTAGGTGGGCAACGTGGACGCCTCGAAACAGAACGGTGCCAAGGTGCTCTTCACCTTGGACGGCCGCGATCCTTTCCTCTGCGGAGAACGTCACCCGGATTCACCCGGCGACTTCGGGGATCCGATCCTTCAACTAATAGAGAAATGATCGAAAATCACCATTTTGAAGAGGAAAACCATGGGAAAATCATAGGAAAATGGTGATTTATATGGAAAATCACCATTTTTTGGGGTTTTATGGTGACTTAAGGGGAATTAATGGGATCTAATGGGATTTACTGGGATATACCCTCTGGATCCCTCTGGTAAACATAGAAAAAACGATGGAAAATCACCATCTTTAATAGGTAAATCAACGAACTGAATGGGCCATTTTCAATAGCAAACTGTTAAATTACCAGAGGGTAATTTAGGTTGAAACAGGAGGAAACATGCTGGAAAATGTCACATTGATGGAGTCAATCACCAGCAAAAAATGGGATTCAATGGGATATGATATAATTGGAGGTTTCCTGAGTCATGCGGGTACCCCTAAATCATCCATATTCTACTCCAGGATCTCCAGGATGGAGTCAAAAAGAAACAGACAATATCTACTCCAGTCTTCTCTTAAATGTTCATATTCATAGGTTTAATTAATTTGCAAAAAACTATGCAATTTGCGATGGCACTTCCACGCCTTCACGCCATGAGTCCAGCTCCTAGCACAACACGGTGGACCGCAGGATGCACAGGTTGGTGCCCCATAATTATATAATAGGCTATAGCTAAGCTGGTTTACTAGAACCTGAACTATGATTCATGGATAATTATGGTAGATATTAATATCTACAATTATCTACACTTTTCATGGGATTTCGTAAAGTTTATGAACCAACAAACATAATCTTTATATATCTTTATATTATCTTAATGAACCTTACCTACGATTTCGGGTACATAGATCTACACTTTTCATGGGGTTTATAAACCAACTCCCAATTAGGGGGCACTATCACTACGGCACCCGGCACACCTTGCAGGATATATGGGTCCTTTCACCGTGACGTCTCGAATGCAGCTGCGTGCGGTTGCCATCAGTGGCACCAAACGTTCGCAGTCTGTGCCGTGGCCGCCGGGGATCTGTGGGGGATAGCCGGGCCTTCCGGCTGCGGCTAGGAAGCGTCGTAGACGGTGACATGGGATGATACCCGGCCTGGTAAACATACAAAAAACAATGGATAATCACCATGTTTAATAGGTAAATCATCTGTTTCAAAGAGGGCCATGTTCAATAGCAAGCTGTTAAATCACCGGTAATGCAGAGCGCAGCATCAACTTCAACAATTGCAAGCAGTTCTTCATAAGGTTCCAGCCGCCTTGATCGTCCCAGTGTGGATGGAGTTTTGGTCGGTCAATTCATTGGGCGTGCCTAAGCATCCACATATTTTGGTACTGCTTGGTGGTGACTGGAACCATGGAATTTTGAATGACTTTCCATATACATATATATATATATATATTCCATATATTCGGAATGTCATCATCCCAACTGACGTTCACTCACTCCATCATTTTTCAGAGGGGTAGGTGGCTCAACCACCAACCACCAACCAGGGTCGATTCATTAGTGCATATCTTGGTGGATCAGTTCCTTGGATGATGGGAAAATGTTCACCAGAAAGCCCAGCCCGATCAATTTGATGGTAAATTTTACCATGGCTTTCCGCTTCAGATTTTCCCTTAAAAAAACCAATCCAATGACTAAATAGATTTAGCCTCCAGTAAATTAACAGTTCGACCCTGGTAGTCATCGGGGTTGGAAGATTAGTTTCCTCTAGAAATTGGTGATTTTCAGGGTCTATGTTAATTTCCCAGAGAGTAGCATATATCATCATATATATATATATATACCATCTGGTTATTTAACATAGCCATGGAAAATCACCATCTTTAATAGGTAAACCATCTATAAATGGCTAAATAGGTTTATGTTGCTGGTTTCGTCGATCTTTTCCCACTCTCTGGATTGACAAAAACACGGACTCGTCAGGACTGGTCACCGAAAAAAACTTTCCCTTTGATACCCGGCTGTATCTTCATGATCTACCCATGATATCCATTAAAAAAACATGATATCTATATATATATATATAATATGATGATAGATAAAATATTATATATATATATATATCAAGTATGTTTTGGTTTTATATCCCATGATATCCTGATGGGGATTACGAATTCTCTTCTTTTTTCAGCCGTTTTTTCAGGTTGAGGCGACCTTCTTGGTCTGCCACTGTGCACTGCCCGACGAGGTCATTTTTGGAACTCTGCAGCTGGGAGCTTTTTGCGAGTTCTGGGAAGTCTCGGGGTGGCGTAGACGGTGTATTAGTCAGTAGGGAAAAATCATTTGCAAATCCACTATAAAAAAATGGATGGAAAATGGAACATCCACTATAAATGGACAATGAAAAAAATATAACATAGCCACGGAAAATCCACTATAAATGGAGGTTTCTAGCCGGGAAAATCATCTGTAAATGGGTCATTTTCCATAGCTATGTTAAATAACCAGGGGGTATAACATATATATATATATAATATTACAGACTACACATGATTGGTTAATAATGGTTATATAGTTATACATATATATATATATTACATATCATATAACTGGTTATTACATATCACATATCATACAAGGTGGTGCCCCCAGTTATAAATGGGTTATAATCCCATTAACTATAGATTCTGATATATCACCTATAAACCATAGTGAAATTGGACTTATTTGCACCAACTTAGCTAACGAACTGGGGCACCAACCTGTAGATACTCATAAATGAACAGTTTCTCGTACACTATCAGAGAAACTATATGTGAATATAGTGAACAGTTGCATAGCTGCGTTTTTGAACGCAATAAACTATTAATAAATGTTCACATTAAGAAAACATCGATATAAGGGATCGAAGAAGTGTATATACTTATAAGTCTTTATTCATGTAAATGTCTGAATGTTCAGTTGTGTTTCCAGCAACGTTGCTGTCAAATGTCCACCCGACATGTCCCGACTGGACGCAAACGGTGGGAAACCTCGGTTATGACTAATGGTTAGCGAACTGGGAAATCACCATTTTTTTAATAGGTAAATCGTTATTTTTTAATCATCTATAAATGGGCGATTTTCCATGGCTATGTTAAATAACTCTAGAGGCTATATATATACAGTATATATCATGATAATATTCTCTCTTAAGCTTCGTTTGAATCTTCCACGACCGATCATACGATATCATCCCTACAACATCCCCAACCAGCTGGATCGCTAGTAGTCTAATCCTTCAGTTTTTGAGCGACCAGAGACGGGGAAAGATTTGTTTCAGACAATGATCGACCGGGATGTTGGTGATATATCCTATATACTACATATATCTAGATATTCCATGATACTCCACTATTTTTGATGTATATGATCAAAATCGATATTCCATACATATCTCAAAATACCAGATTTCCTTTTTTCTTTCCATATAATTCACCAATTCTCCAGATATACCCTCTGGTAAACATCACAAAACTATGGAAAATCACCATTTTTTATGAGTAAATTCACTATAAATGGCCATGTTCAATAGCTTTTTGTATGTTTACCAGATATATCTCCCAGCAAATAGATATATCTAGATATTCCATATATTTTCATATATTCCATATAATTCACCATATATTTCTATGAAATACAGGCTTGTACCAGATATATCTCCCAACAAATCCCCCGCATGGCGCAAGCTGCGCCAAGGCAAGCGCAGATTTTTCCCGCCTGCCTGGAGCTGCTGCTGAAGGACACCGCGGAGACCTTGACGGTCACCCCGGACCAGTTTCAGGCGGGTCGAACGTGGCACATCGAACGACTTAAAACAGGCTTCATGGAATAAACACACCAATGTCATCCAATATCTACAGTAATAATATATATATATATATATATAACCATGTATATATATATATATATATGTATATACATATATAACCATATATATATAACCATATATATAACATATTTGTAAATGTCCTTCCATTTCAGTGATTTTCTCCATTTCTGTTCTGTTCTTTTTCGAAGATTCCCAGCCGGAAAATGTCCGTCGCGGATCCAGGTGAAGACGGCCGAGACGGACTTCACCGCGCGCTGGATCCAGCTGGATCTCCATGACGTCACTCGGGGCAGTCCCCTATCGTCATAGCTATTGAACGTTAATAGTTAATAATGGTATATATATATATAGTTAATAATGGTATATTTATGGCTTCATATATTTTGATGGTATATAATGGTATTAACTGATGGTTAATAATTGGTGGTCATTTAAATGGTTATTTAACTGATGGTTAATAATTGGGGGTCATTTAAATGGTTATTTAACTGATGGTTAATAATTGGTTGACATGGTCAATTTAGCTAATGGTAATTTATAGTTAATCATTGTTGGTTAATAGTAATAATATGTTTGATGGTTAATAATGGTTTATAGCTTCACATATTTTGATTATGAATAATTGGATACCCCAATATTTGTCATAACTTGTGATGGAATTAGATGGTTACCTTCGGGTAAAAACTAACATTGAACATGGTCATTTAGTTCGTTGATTTACCCATTAAACATGACCATTTTTTCCATAGTTATGTTAAATTAACTGTTAGGGTAGGCATGTAAGTCGTAATATATTGAAAGTTGGTTGTAAACCCCGTTAAGTATGGAGATATTTGCTATAAATCATAGCTGGCCTAGTAACCAACCAAACTTAGCTATTGTTTAGGGGCCAGGCCTACCAACACCCTAGAATAAGGTGGGTAGAACCATCAGAAATGGTGGTGTTCACCATCACAAAGAAAACCATGTTATGCTATGTAAGGGGATCCAATGGGATATCGGGCCCGTGTCATGTTTGTTGGTCTACATTCAAAGCCATCAACATCTTCACTTATGGACATATCAACCATAGACAGTTAGTTAGCTAGTTGGCTTCGTTATAAACCATTTGATCTATCTAGGGGCCCACACGTTGTGTGGATTGAACACACTACCGTCTATAATTTTGGATTCCAGCTTTGAGGCAATTTGGGGTCAAGTTGCTCGCACATTTTCCTGCCACAGACTTACCGATGGTTTCAATTATTTGTGGAGTTGTCCAATTGACTGCTATATGGTTGAGGAGGGTTTAGCAGCCAAAACTATGTTGCTTGATATCCACATGTTAGACCTTTTTGAAAACATCATATGGAGGTTTCCATAAATGTACCCCCAGTCATCCATGGCATTTTGCTAAGATTTTCCATGAAAACTCACCAGCTGTGGGGGTCACCAGCATCCCTTGTTTGATGGCCCAAGGTGCGACCCAGGCATCAGTTGCATTTCGACTTGGCCTACGCTTCTGCAACAGGGCGATTATTGGGTGGCCGAGGTCAGCCAGATGGGGGTTTCATAACGGGGATTCCCCAGTGACCATGGGCTGAATCATCTTCAAATGGTTGATGTTTAATGACTTGGAGGATCCGGAAAGCCCCAAAGTAGGGAACCTGCAAAGATGTGGCCACTTGCGGTGACTGAACCTGTGAAGATGATATGTAAGATCTGTACAGATCTGTAAGAATTGGGCAACCGACATCAACCAACGGGTCATGGCAACATGGGATAGGAATGAGATTAGGGGAAACTTCGGAAACAGCGTAGAACATCTGCGATTTCCAGTCCTAGAATAAAGTCTGAGAGACATGGCGGTGAATTGTCTCGAGCTGATTGTTTTGAAGTTGAAAGAGCCGTGGTGCCTTTATTTATCGGCTTCGCCAGATGCTGATTTGAACTTAACGATGCATTTGGATACATTTGGCACTTGTTGTTGTTGGATAGTACCCTCTGGTTATTCAACATAGCCATGGAAAATGGCCCATTTATAGATGATTTTCCCAGCTAGAAACCTCCATTTACAAGGGATTTTCCACGGCTATGTTAGTCACAACCAGAGGGTATAAATCCATCAATTCTTCCACAATCCATTTCTCCAACTCTCCCGGTTGCTGTCAACGTTCCGAGGTAAAGTCAGCTGATCAAAGGAAGAAATGGACTGCAACTTGGCTAGTCAGCTTCATGGCGGGTTTCCGAATGGTTTTTTTTTGGCCTTAATAGCCATGGGTAGCCATGGGTAGCCCTATAAATCTCCTGGTGAATCATCATTTTACTACTTTAAAGTGGATAAAGTGGTCAGTTTGTCAGGTTGATCCAACATTTTCAAACCTTTTATGAAAATTTGTGAACACCCCCATACTTTGGGTATACAGTATACATATGTTTATTGAACCGTATTAAATCTTATTAAACCTTATTAAACCTCGTGCCGGGCTGCCGGAGATATGGATTTCCAAATCTCAGGACGCCATAACGGCGGACATTCAGAAAGCCGTGGGAGAGGAGCCAAAAGACTGCAGAGTTTCTGGGCGAAACAAAAAAGGGGCTGAAATCTATGGATGATATACATGGGGCTATTGAAAATGGTGATTTAATTACAGTGGATTTACCCATTGAAAATGGTGATTTTCCATAGTTATAGTAGATAATAAGTCCAATTTCACTGTGGTTTTTGTTGGTGATATATCAGAAGCTTTAGTTAATTGGATTATAACCCATTGATAACTGGGGGGCTTGTAGTTTGGGTAGCATTGAGATGTCAAATCCCAGGTTTTTGCTGGATCCATCATTTTGGAGTTTCAGATGACTCGCGAAAAGGCGCGCAGATATACGGTGTTCCACGGCATGGAACGGCCGGCCGGTTTATATCTCAGCTAAACTTTCTGGCAATATCTGGCAATATCTGGCATGGCTAGCTGTAAATTTGCGGAACTATATATAATTAAGCAATCCCAATGGTATCTGGGTCCTTTCCAATTTGAATCTGGCCCTTAAGGGTTGATGGGGAACAAGGTATGACAGAAGGGTCAAATCTTGGCCGCGGCTTATTTTTTCTCAAGCTGTGCTCATGGCTCTGTGGCCAACTCCGCGCAGACTGAACCTCTGATGCATTTTGGCCCAGCATCAGTAGACCCAAACATTTATGACATAAGATCTTTTTAAAGATCAGAGAAACTTTGCCGCAACAGGGTCCTTTTCAAGGCCATTCTCCATGATATACCTGGGACATTGTATAAGGAAGCCGAGACTGAATGTCTAGAAACTATGTGCACTTGCAGCACCAAAGGCTACCAAGTTGCTTCTTGCGCGCGTCCATCGCCTGCACCCGTGCCTCCTCTTTGCTGATCCCATAGTACTTGGCCATCTTGTGGGATCCAGAGTAGACCTTTGTCACAGAAAGCAATTCAAATGACAGGTCCTGAGAACATGTTTGAAATACAAAATGTGACATTGACTTCATTTGTTTTTAATAATCCAAGCCACTGAATGAAGTTTCTTCTTCAATTCAATCGCGCGCTGCTCCTCCGGATCTTCCTCTTCCTTCTCACCTTCCTTCTCGCCTTCCTTCTCGCCTTTCTTCTTGCCTTTCTTCTCACGTTTCTTCTCGCCTTTCTTCTCGCCTTCTTCATTCTCCGCTGCTTTGCGCTTGTTGCCCTTTGGAGCACAGGCCTTTGGAGCTGCCTTTGCTTTGGCTGCCATCTTGGCCTTTGCCTTTGCCTTTGCTTTTACTTTGGGAGCTGCTGACAAGCTGCCACCAGTTTCAAGCGACCCCTTGCTTGCTTTGCCTGGTGCTCTGTTATCCGACTCATCCTTGCTGGTGGGCGGTGTCTGGCCATCCATCTCATCATTGTCCAACTGTCCATATTCGCTGCTGGCTCGAACGGCTTTGATCTTCTTCAAGGCCTTTGCAACCTTTTTGATGTAGACCAATCCCTTTGTCAACCGGCGTTCATGGAGCTTTTTGCGACAACTTTTCTTGACTTTGGCCACGCGGATCTTGTCAGGCATGGGCAGTTCATTGTTCAAGACTTTCATCATAACAGCAAATTTCTGGTCCAAGTTCGACGAAGTAATTGGAGCATTGATCACTTTCTGCACCTCCGACTTTGTCATCGTTTCCGGAACCTCCACAAAGGTAGCCCTTCTCTGTTCAGGCTCTTTGTTCTCCTCAGGCTCTTTGTTTTCCTCAGGCATGTTGTTCTCCTGCGGCTCTTTCATCTCCTCAGGTTGGTTGTTCTCCTCAGGCTCTTTCATCTCCTCAGGCATCTCAGACTCGGGCAAAGGTGAGAGCTCCAAAGACCGATGTTCAAGGCCGTCAACATCTCCCATTTTGCAGGTATCCTCCTGGTTCGGAGACATAAGCCGATTCAGCAGCTCCAAGCAAGAATCAACAGCTTGACGAGTCTGGTCAACCATACCCCTTGTAACCCACCCATCCTCCTGCAAAAACTTCATCGTTGCTTCCTCATCACGTTTCATCTCTTCATCAAGTCGTGGGGAGATTTGGTCAAAGAGGTCAGCACAGCTGTTGAAGGCGTCCATCAGATCATTGTTGATTGCTGCGTCCTCCTGCGAAAGATTGAACATGAGATATTGAACCCAAGCTTTCAGAATCCAATTGATTTGGCAGCTGCACATCCCATACATATGTATGTGCCAAGTGCAAATCTACGCGCCTCAGCGCTAAGAGGTGGTGGTGTTCCAGCGCCGCTGCTAGAATCCATGTATGTATCTCCATCCTCGGATTGACCGCAGAGAGTGGCAAGATCATGGAAGTTTGAAAAAAACACCACAAACAAACAAGGCTGTACAAACTATATTGCTATTGTAATGCAGGGACTTATGTGAATTCATACATGTGATATATTTTAAATTTGATATTGTATAGTAATGCAGGGACTTAATGTGAATTCATACATGTGATACATTTTAAATTTGATATTGTATAGTTTTATATTTTGCCCCAACCTCAAAAACATGATAATATAATATAATCGATATAATATCTAGTATGACAAGTGTACATTGGTGATATTTACAACCAATCGCAATAAAAATGTGAACTGTTTCAAATCAGACATATCATACATACATACTTCAGATATCGACTCATACATACCGCAAATATCAAATCACATGTTATATGGTACCAACTAAACAATAAAGCAATAAAGAACATGTTGTCCAATTCCACGTGATAATTTTTCCCAGGTGTTTGATATACAGTTTGGCTGCACTTCCCAGCCAAGGATCTGCATGGCCTGTGGCACCATTGGCAGCTGCCATCACATGCGCCTTGTCTGGACATGGCAGGGCTTGGATTGGGCAGAAGGGAGATTTTTTTTGCACAAATATTCTTAGTTAAACCAAGCCACATTCGAATCTGGAGAAGGAGTCAATGGCGCACCAGGGCTCTTCAACCCCAATTGATTGTCCGGGTACAAATGGGGCGGCCTTGGATGGACAGATCAAATATTGTGTCATATCAGACCCATTGATGGTAAAAATCAACACCTCCAAGTTACTGCAAAGCGTTCAAACATGTGTTGTTTCTTGATAACATCATCTAATGAATTATAGTTTGTGAAGCCAAGGCACATATAGTTGGGATTGTCAATTGTGACAGTGACCGGGGGCACATCATCCTGACCAGTGAAGGCATGAAACATATCTTAAGATACTTTGTCTTATTATGAAACCATGTCATGTGCTGTGGGATTCCCCGCTCCTTGGACTTGGTTTTCTTGGAGGGCTTCTTCTTGGCAGCAGTAGCAGTACTACGGGTAGCTGGTTTCTTTGAAACTGGAGGCCTCAACTCTTCAGGAACTTGATCATGGGCAGAAGCACCATCATTTCCATCTTCACGATCCTCATCATCCATTTCCGACCCACCTAGTGGATCATGCTCTGCATCCTTTGGCGGGTCATCATCTTCTTCCTTATCCACGTTCTTGGTTTTCCTGGAAGGCCTTTTCATCGGGATAGGCTTTTCCTGGGAAGAAGATGATTCCGACGCAGTCACCCGCCCAGGAAGTGCATGAGATAGACCACTGCCACCTTGAGAACTGATTTGGAAACACCATGAAACACCCACCCCAAGATTATTCACACTGGCTTTCAAACCCTTTCTACCCAGCCTTCTGCACCTACTTCTGCGCCAGCTGAAGGTGCCGACTTTGTCTTCGCTGCAGATTGTGGCGGTAGCATCGATGGAGGACGGGTCGGTGTCAGGTTGCTCGAGGAGAGGAGCCGTGCCATGTTGAACGCCTCAAAGTAGCACCAGCATGGATGGCAGTTAATTAGGATGGATGTTGGAACTAGATTAATGATTAATAGGATTCACGAGTCCAGGAGGTTCCCAAAAGAGATCTTTTGCAGAGATTTTCCAAAGATCTTTGTATTGAGATTTGGAGATTTGAGCGAGAACAAACCATCAAAATTTTGACAAGGAACAGGTGGGCGAAAGTTGGCCGTCAATGGCACCTCTTCCACACTCTCATCATCACTATGCGTTGCCCTTGAACGCACTGAGCTCGCCATAGTGAAAACTACAGGGCCCCGATCGGATATCCAAACCTAAAATTCTTGAGCAGATAACATGTTCATGAACAATGTAATTCCAAACTTGGGATGCTGAGCTACCAAATGCTACCAATCAGATGCATCATCAGCCTCTAGTTTGCAAGCAGCACCCAAAGAAACTACCGCCATGGAAACTAAACCACTTTTTTTTTCACCACATGTTTCGTGAGCGTAGCAGCACTTGGATGCAGTAGGCATCCTATTTCCCTTGACCCCATCGGAGCTCATCAGTCGAACAAACAATGGGAAAATCAAAAAAATCAAGCAAATTATTCTTTTCAAATAGCTTCGGTCCGACAGGCTGTAAGATTGCGAACACACTCTAATGAGTGACACCCATACCATTCATTCAATGGTACGATTTGTCCCCGTTGATGGCTCTGTGAAATGCGCTGCGTAGATCTCTCGCCATTTGAGTTGTGAAACAAAATAGAATGTCAAAAGATGTCAAAAGTCAAAACCATGTCACAACCTACAAGAAAAAGAAAACACACATTTACATTGCACCATAAGCCACCAAATCAAAAATTGATTGATACAGCCAGCCACTTGGCAGCTCTACATCAAGCGAGCGTATTCTTGGTAGCCCTACATCAAGCGAATGCAATCTTCACTCATGTCAACAGGCGTATTCAAGCACAAGCAAGGTCGGATCGGTGTGATCACTTTGGTGCCGTTGGTGCAACTGCTGCTGTCCAGCCTTTACAGAAGTCGAGATGCATAGTATGTCAAAACAAGATCTTACTTACTTGGCTTGCTTGGGTGACAAGAAACCAATTGCATACAAGTAACCTGCAACGCCACGCAACACACAATGTGCTTTCACTCGACTTGATCTTCGTGAGAGACAAGAACGCCCCAAAATTCTTGGATGTGGTAGTCGACCCAGCAGTTTTGCCCCTTTTCCTACTCTTTTTGGGAACCTCTGGAACTTCGTCTAAAACGAAAACCAATGGCTTCACACTGGCCCAGTCGTCATCTTGTTTCTTGTGATGGCTGATCTCAACTTTGACCTTGGTTCACGAGACAAACCCCCAATTACCCCCAAATCTCAATTGACCTTGGTTCATGTCAAGCTGCCAAATGTGTTTGATGTATATTTGCATCGACAGCGGAATGGTCCTACCAAATTCTTTAGTGTCGCCTTATCGTATAACATAATATAACATAAATAGCCACCCAGTAATGAAACATAAGGTAAAGAACTTCTCCGGCATCTTGAAGATCACAAACCA